TATGCATGATGGGGGTATTGGGGTAACAATACAAAAGGTTTGCTAGGGTAGACCCTCTTTCACTCAGACTCAGCCGCCCCGCCCCAATCAAACTCAACTCCCCCCAAAACAAAATCCTAGCTACGGGCCTGGTCCCAGGTGTGGTTGGTGGGGACAAGAGAGAGGACCTTCTTGGTGGTGGCTCCCCAACTCTGAAACGCCCTCCCTAGAGAGATTAGCTTAGCCCCAGAACCCATGAAAGCCTTCGACCACACATTTAATGGGGAACTCTTTCCAACTTCCTTTTCCCTGGCGAAGAACGGATGTCCTCAGGGTTGCGTACCTCTGGATCAGCCGATTGAGACTGGAGTCAAACCGTGTTGTTCTGCTGCTCTCTTAATAGGAGGCCTCTCTTTCTACACAAATAAGATTCGGCAAGTGGCCGCGCACACCGCCACCTCCCTCACCTCACTCATAGTGCAGCTCTTTCAGGTGGTCTTGCTGAAGCTGGGCTATGACGGTCAAGGTACCTTTCGTTTTGAGATCGCCTTCTTCTCTCTCCAGCCATAAAAATGGGCACCTGGGTCTTGCGTGTGCGTCTGCCGTGGTCTGGGTCTCTGGGCAACTTTCTGGCACCTTCCACACCTTTGGTCTTGCGCTCACCTTGGCAGCCTTTGTTCTTCTTCCCTTGGAAGCATCCAAATGCAATGTACACTCGTTGTGTGGGTTTCTCCCTTTCTTTCTTCCCACCTCCCTCTGCAAAGCGCCATGCAATGTATGTATGTATGTATGTAGGGAAAGCGCATACTTTCACTTGCCTTGCAGATCGGCTCTCATTCTCTCGGCTTTTAAAGCTCTGGATGGTTTTCCTCCCTCGTTTGTTGTCAGTCCTTACACACTTGAACGTATTTGGTTGTTTCGGTCAGATTACTATACCAAACGTGAAGCTCAATCTGGAGGTCATCATAGAATCAAAGAGTTGGAAGAGACCTCCTGGACCATCCAGTCCAACCCCATTCTGCCAAGAAGCAGGAATATTGCATTCAAATCACCCCTGACAGATGGCCATCCAGCCCCTGTTGAAAAGCTTCCAAAGAAGGAGCCTCCACCACACTCCGGGGCAGAGAGTTCCACTGCTGAACGGCTCTCACAGTCAGGAAGTTCTTCCTCATGTTCAGATGGAATCTCTTCTCTTGTAGTTTGAAGCCATTGTTCCACGTCCTAGTCTCCAAGGAAGCAGAAAACAAGCAGAAAGGTTCAGGTTCTGCCAAATCAAGTCAGGTTTTTGAGAAAATATTTGGATTCATAGAATCGTAGCGGAAGGTATGAACAAGATCTTGGAGTCCTTGTGGGGAGGAAGGTGAATCTGAGTCAACAATATGATGCTGCAGCTCAAAAAGCCAATGGGATTTTGGCCTGCATCAATAGGAGCCTAGTGCCTAGATCCAAGGGAGTCATGCTCCCCATGCTCAGACCACACCTGGAATCAGGTGTCCAATTCTGCGCACCGCAGTCGAAGGGAGATGTGGACTCCAAGCTGGAAAGTGTCCAGAGGAAGAGGACAGCTCAAAGGATCAAGGGTCTGGAGAACAAGCCCTATGAGGAGCGGCTTGAAGAGCTGGGCATGTTAGCCTGCAGGAAAGAAGGCTGATAGGAGACGGGATGAGGGCCAGGGATCAAGAGGGGAGGGGAATATGTCATAGGGAGGAGGGAACAAGCTTATTTTCTGCTGACACAATGGAACAATGGCTTCAAACTAAAGGAAAGGAGGGAGATTCTACCTGAACATGAGGAAGAATTTCCTAACTGTGAGAGCTGTTCAGCAGTCTCTGTCCCAGACTGTGGTAGAGGCTACTTCTTTGGAAGCTTGGAAGCAGAGGAAAGGTGGCCATCTGTCGAGGGTGCTTTGAAACTAACAAAATGAAGTTCAACAGTAACAAATGCAAGAGACTCCACTTAGGCAGGAAAAACGAAATGCAAAGATACAGAATAGGGGATGATGCCTGGCTCGAGAGCAGTACGTGTGAAAAAGATCTTGGAGTCCTCGTGGACAACAAGTTAAGCATGAGCCAACAACGTGATGTGGCGGCAAAAAAAGCCAGTGGGATTTTGGCCTGCATCAAGAGGAGCCTAGTGTCTAGATCTAGGGAAGTAATGCTCCCCATGCTCTATTCAGCTTTGGTTAGACCACACCTGGAATATTGTGTCCAATTCTGGGCACCACAATTCAAGAGAGATATTGACTCTAAGCTGGAATGTGTCCAGAGGAGGGCGACTAAAATGATCAAGGGTCTGGAGAAGAAGCCCTATGAGGAGCGGCTTAAGGAGCTGAGCATGTTTAGCTTGAAGAAGAGAAGGCTGAGAGGAGACATGATGAGCGCCATGTATAAATATGTGAGAGGAAGCCACAGGGAGGAGGAGGGAGCAAGCTTCCTTTCTGCTTCCCTGGAGACTAGGACGCAATGGAACAATGGCTTCAAACTACAAGAGAGGAGATTCCATCTGAACATGAGGAAGAACTTCCTGACTGTGAGAGCTGTTCAGCAGTGGAACTCTCTGCCCCGGAGTGTGGTGGAGGCTCCTTCTTTGGAAGCTTTTAAACAGAGGCTGGATGGCCATCTGTCAGGGGTGATTTGAATGTAATATTCCCGTTTCTTGGCAGAAGGGGGTTGGACTGGATGGCCCATGAGGTCTCTTCCAACTCTGATTCTATGATTCTATGAATGTGATTTTCTGCTTCTTGGCAGAAGGGGGTTGGACTGCATGGCCCATCAGGCCTCTTACAACTCTAGGATTCTATGAAATGTCAGAAATGTAAAGCCTGATATAATTGGGAAGAGATTCCTGCAAGATAAACATTAATATATATATAAACTGAAATCTTGAATAACCATAAATGAAAATTTGGCAAAGTCAATATCAGGCATGGGTAAACTTTGGCCCTCCAGGCATTTTGGACTCCAACTCCCACCATTCCTAATAGCCTCAGGCCCTTTCCTTTTTAATTTCCTTTTCCTTTTCCTCAGGCTGATAAATGCGGTATACAAATGGAGTAAATAAATAAATAAATTTTCCACGTTAGTGGCTGAGTGGGGAAAGGAAGGGGCCTGAGGCTGTTAGGAATGGTGGGAGTTGGAGTCCAAAACACCCGGAAGGCCAAAGTTTACCCATGCCAGGCCTATACGGATCCTCTTTGGATACAAGGATTGTATCCAGACATATGCTGGCCACATGACCTTGGAGGTGTCTATGGACAACGCTGGCTCTTCGGCTTAGAAATGGAGATGAGCACCACACCCCAGAGTCAGACATGACTGGACTTAATGTCAGGGGACTACCTTTACCTTTACCTATCCAGACATAACTCTGGACAGGTTTCTTGGAAGGTTCTTGACTTCTGAAGGACTATTTATCTGTATACAGATTGTGTTATAAACATACAACTATATATGTGTGCACTGAGGGTTTAAGCATGCACACCCAAAGGGAGGAAGGTTTTGTGCTGACCACTTCTCCATCCATTCCTCGGAAAGCGACTCTGAACTTCCTTTTCTTTCCTTTTCCTCTTTCTTTCTGCACTTCTTCACTAGCAAAATGTTTTTGCAAATGTGTCCTGCTCCCTTTCCTTTTCTCATGGCACAAGCATGCTCTTGGGGAGACCCCTGGGTTGTACTCCTCCATTCCTAATTTGTGATAATTTCTATTTTTCCCCCCTTTCTCCTTCTATCTTTTGTGCCGTAGCTCACTCGAACTACTGTGGGAGCATGAATGTAAAAGAATTTCTCAGGGAAGATGGCCACCTGGGGATGAATGGTGAATCCTTATGTAAGTACGATTATTATTATTATTATTGTTGACACTCGGGTTAGAAGTCTGCATGTCGCAGCGACCTTTCATAGTTTTGTGGAGGCTTCAAAAACATTGCATGTTGGCCATGATTCATCATCCTGCTCTCAGAGGAACCCTAAAAAAGTCCTTTTGTGGGTGATCCAAAGTTCCTTTCGAGGATGAGGACATCCCAAAAGCTCTTTTCCTTCTAGCCGTGCGGTTTCCAAACTTTGGTGGGTACGATCAGGCCTGATGGAGCCCCACTTCTCTTCCATTGTGTTGCTAACCCACTTTCATGTGGCAAAACCACACCAGGAGTAGTGGTGAAAGTAGCTTCCAGTCTGTGTCAAAAACTAGGTTTGTAGCACGCAACTCAAGATGCTTGGCCACTCCAGACTTGAAGAGCTTGCTGGAAATAGCAGCCTCCCAAGCCTTTCTCTATTGGTTTGTTAATGTATATATATGTGTTAATCTGTATCCTATATGTATGTTGATTTGCCCAGTGATGGAAGGAAGGAAGGGAAGGAAGGAAGAAGGGAAGAGAGGGAGGAAGGGAAGGATGGAAGGAGGAAGCGGGAGGGAGGAAAGAGGGAAGGAAGGAAAGACAAAAGGGAAGGGAAGAATGAAATGGTGGAAGGGATGGATGGATGGATGGATGAAAGGAAGGAAGGAAGGAAGGAAGGAAGGAAGGAAGGAAGAATGGATGGATGGAGGGAGGGAGGGAGGGAGGGAAGGAAGGAAGGATGGATGGATGGATGGATGGATGGATGGATGGATGGGTGGATGGGAGAAAGGAAGGATGGAAGGAAGGAAGGATGGATGGATGGAAGGGAGGAAGGGAGGGAGGGAGGGAGGGAGGAAGGTCAGATGGAAGGATGGATGGAAGGAGGGAAGGATGGATGGATGGAAGGAAGGAAAGAAGGAAGGATGGATGGAAGGAAGGAAGGAAAGAAGGATGGATGGAACGAAGGATGGATGGATGGATGGATGGAGGGAGGGAGGGAGGGAGGGAAGGATGGATGGATGGATGGATGGGTGGGTGGGTGGGTGGATGGGAGAAAGTAAGGATGGATGGATGGATGGAAGGAAGGATGGATGGAAAGAAGGATGGATGGATGGATGGATGGATGGATAGATGGAAGGAAGGAAGGGAGGAAGGACAGATTGAAGGATGGAAGGATGGATGGATGTAACAAAGGATGGATGGAGGGATGGAAGGAGGGAAGGGTGGATGGATGGTTGGATGGATGGATGGATGGAAGGAAGGAAGGAAGGATGGATGGATGGAAGGAAAGAAGGATGGATGGATGGATGGAAGGAAGGGTGGATTGAAAGGAAGGATGGATGGATGGATGGATGGAAGGAAGGATAGAGGAGGAGGGAGGGAAGGATGAATGGAAGGATGGATGGATAGATGAAAAAGGGAAAAAGAGAAGGAAGGAAGAAAAGGATGGAAGGAAGGAAGGAAGGAAGGAAGGAAGGAAGGGAGAAAAGGGAGGTTAGGAATGGAGGAAGGGAAAGAGGAAAGACTGAAGGATGGGAGGGAAGGAGAAAGGAGAGGTGAAAGGAAGGATAGGATGGTGAGGGAGAGGAGGGCCTGAGAAAAGAGCCCAAGGGGCCACATGCGGCCCTGGGCCTGGGTTTGCCCATACCTGGGTTATAGACATGTGATTGTACTGAACAAGTTCAGAGTCGGGACTCCATTTTGTATTCAGTGCCTGCTGGACACCTCATTGGAGGTAGATGTGTTTGCATCAGACCTCAGTGGAGGTGGATGCATGTATATGTTTGGTCTTCACTGAAAGCAGGTTGCTGTTGGGACTTTAATGAGTCCAGTGTGATTATGGACTTACGTGAGTACAGCTAGACTTAAAGACTGTGGACTAGTGATTAAGAAATGTACCCTGTGTATTACATCCCATCTATAACTGAACTTCAATAAGAAATGTACCTATATGGTGAATTAATACAAGCTGCTTATGAGTAAACAATATACTTTTTTTTCAAAGAAAACTTTGCTTTTTAACTCTGCATTTTTTAAACTAAGGGGTTTTAAGGGAGTGTATATCTTTTTGGGTACCTGCAACTTCAAAGAAACAACCACCTTCTGCTAATCCAATGTATTTTTGTAGTGGCATGGCGTTATCATTGGCAGTTTAAAGACATGGTTCTTCAGTTTAACAGCTGAGTGACCTGTGTGCCATTACGTGAATGCTTATGTATCTCACTTGTTCAGAGTTGACTTCTAATAAGGTCATGCTTTTTCTTGACTAGTGGTTTTCCAAAGGCGGTCAAAGATTCACATTTGACAAACAGACGTGACATCATTTTTACCTTTTCAATAAGGTTATCGTGAAGTTATTTCCAATGGGTTATGGAATTTCCAACAGAGCGTTTGTACGGATATTATCTGTGATGTTTTTTTGGTTCCCCTTGTGTCTTTATGTGTAGACTTTACTGGTGAATGCCTTATATTAACCGATTGTTACCCACAACCAACAGGTGATGACTGTAAGGGGAAGAAACACCTTGAAACACACACAACCGCCCACATGCAATCCTCAAGGTCTAAAAGAGTAGCAAGGACCATTTGGCACATCTTTTCTTACGCAGGTTGACTTGTACCTTGTTTTCGTTTTGTTTCGTTTTTTCTGTGTGTGTGTGTGTGTGTTTTGATTTCTTTTGCTTCATCCTCGTCTTCATCACAGTATCTTAAAATCTCCTGATACGTTTTCAGCATTCTACTAAAACCTGTGGAGACGTAAGAATAGCATATGCCCATCACCTCTTGCTGTGGTTTTAGGCCGACCCCTGCTGCCAAGGAAGCTTGGCACAGATAATAATCCCCGTTGTACGTAGGTCACAGAACAGCAGGAAAGCGGGCGACAGCAGCACGTGCATAATATTGCACATGTAAAAAAGGAGATCTTAGGGAAGAATGCCTATAGAACAGGTATGGGCCAACTTTGGCCCTCCAAGTGTTTTGGACTCCAACTCTCACCATTCCTAACAGACTCGGGCCCTTTCCTTTTCCCCCTCAGCCACTCAAGCATGAGTACAAGACTTTCCCAAAGATCTTAGACATAGATGTGAACATGGAACAAGACCCAAGATCCACACGATTACGCAGTGTTGCCTGATCTGACTCTTAAGGACACAATCCTTTAATTCTCAAGATGGACCCTCACAGATATGTTTTGGACTCCCACCATTCCTAACGCTTCAGGCCCTTTCCTTTCCCCCCTCAGCCACTCATGAATGAATACAAAACTTTCCCAAAGTTCTTAGACATAGACGTGAACATGGAACAAGACCCAAGAGCCACACGATGATGCAGTGTTGCCTGATCTGACTCTTAAGGACACAATCCTTTAATTCTCAAGATGGACCCTTACAGATATGTTTTGGACTCCAACTCCCACCATTCCTAACAGCTTCAGGCCCTTTCCTTTCCCCCCTCAGCCACTCATGAATGAATACAAAACTTTCCCAAAGTTCTTAGACATAGACGTGAACATGGAACAAGACCCAAGAGCCACACGATTACGCAGTGTTGCCTGATCTGACTCTTAAGGACACAATCCTTTAATTCTCAAGATGGACCCTCACAGATATGTTTTGGACTCCCACCATTCCTAACAGCCTTGGGCCCTTTCCTTTCCCCCTCAGCCACTCAAGAATGAATACAAGACTTTCCCAAAGTGCTTAGACATAGACGTGAACATGGAACAAGACCCAAGATCCACACGATGATGCAGCGTTGCTTGATCTGACTCCTAAGGACACAATCCTTTAATTCTCAAGATGGACCCTTACAGATATGTTTTGGACTACAACTCCCACCATTCCTAACAGCCTCAGGCCCTTTCCTTTTCCCCCTCAGCCACTCAAGAATTAATACAAGACTTTCCCAAAGATCTTAGACATAGACATGAACATGGAACAAGACCCAAGAGCCACATGATGACACAGTGTTGCCTGATCTGACTCTTAAGGAAACAGTCCTTTAATTTAAGGAAGGGGCCCGAGGCTGTTAGGAATGGTGGGAGTTGGAGTCCAAAACACCTGGAGGGAGGACCAAAGTTGGCCCATGCCTGTTATATAAAAAAGCCAAAGTAGATTGATTATTGAAATATAACTCCCATTTTAGCCTTGTGTTTTCCAAGCCAGGTCCAGGAAGGCTAATGGAGAAAATACCTTTGCTCTCCCGACCTTTCTCCTGTGACCAAAACGAAACCCCGCAGCCTGGTGAAGTCAGGAAGAACCCTGTTTCAGTCCTCTACCAATATTGCCACTAGGTTTTTATTGGTCTGTGCACTTGGCCCTCCACTTTTAATGTCTATCTTTTCTGAATTTGGTGAATATGGCCTTTCTAGAAATGATGCAGTGGGTTAAACCGCTGAGCTGCTGAACTTGCTAACCGAAAGGTCACAGGTTCAAATCCAGGGAGTGGGTGAGCTCCCGCTGTTAGCCCCAGCTTCTGCCAACCTAGCAAAAGCTCCAGCAGGAAGTCAACTGCATTCCATGCAGTCACGCTGGCGACATGACCTTGGAGGTGTCTATGGACAGCTCTGGCTTTTTAGCTTAGAAATGGAGATGAGCACCAACCCCTAGAGTCGGACATGACTGGACTAAATGTCAGGGGAAAACCTTTACCTTTTTAGGAATTTTAGTTCCTCCACTGCACCTCTTGTTGGGTGAGTGAGTTAATAACAAAGGACCCTCCCCATGAACTTAGTAACTTATCAGCAGCAGCGTGACCCAGCACCAGTAGCCCAAAGTGATAAAAGAACAAAAAACACACAGACCAATGTTATCTCTTCCATAGGAAGCTTTTCTCTGTAGTAAAATAATATGGTTGCACTGTTTACAAGAACAAGCTTTTCATAACACAAATAAAGTCCTTTACATTTCCTTCTTTGCTTCCACGCTGGGCTTCTTTCTCATGCAAATAGACAGCTTCGCTCTCACAGAGCCTCTTCTCACAGGAGCCTCACACAGGGCTTCTCTCACCGAAGATTCTCACACCAGGCCTTCTCATACTGAGGCCTACTAACACTGAGGCCTTGGAGCTTCACACAGTAGCTTTACACACAGCAGCGTTCACACATGAGACCTTCACACACAATGGCCTTCAACCTGGGGCATCTCTCACCGAAGCTTCTCACACCAGGCATTCTCACACTGAGGCCTAGTAACACTGAGGCGTACTTAACACTGAGGCATTGGAGCTTCACACAGTAGCTTTACACAAAGCAGCCTTCACACATGAGGCCTTCACACAGAATGGCCTTCAACCTGGGGCATCTCTCACCGAAGCTTCTCACACCAGGCCTTCTCATACTGAGGCCTAGTAACACTGAGGCCTATTTAACACTGAGGCATTGGAGCTTCACACAGTAGCTTTACACACAGCAACCTTCACACATGAGGCCTTCACACACAATGGCCTCCAACCTAGGGCTTCTCTCACTGAGACTTCTCACACCAGGCTTTCTAATACTGAGGCCTGCATAACACTGAGGCCTTTCTCCCACTGAGACCTCTCTTTATAGAAAAATTATATGGTTGTACTAGTTACAAGAACAAGGTTTCCATAACACTTCCTTCTTTGCTTCCATGCTGGGCTTCTTTCACACGTAGATAAATAGCTTCACTCTCACACGGCCTTTTCTCACACTGAACTTACACAGGAGCTTTACACACAGCAGTCTTCACACTGAAACTTCACACATGAGCTTTACACACACAAGGCCTTCAACTTGGGGCTTCCTCTCACCAAAGCTTCTCACACCAGGCCTTCTCATACTGAGGCCTTTCTCACACTGAGGTGAACTAGCACTGAGGTCTTCTCATATTGAGGCCTACCTAACACACTGAGGCCCTTCTTCCACAGAGACCTTTCTCAGACTGAGGCCTTTCTCCCACTGACGCGAACTAATACTGAGGCCTACCTAACACACTGAGGCCCTTCTCCCACAGAGACCTCTCTCAGACTGAGGCCTTTCTCCCACTGAGGCGAACTAACACTGATGCCTTCTCATATTGAGGCCTACCTAACACACAGAGGCCCTTCTCCCACAGAGACCTCTCTCAGACTGAGGTGAAATAACACTGAGGCCTTCTCATACTGAGGCCTACCTAATATACTGAGGCCCTGCTCCCATAGAGACCTCTCTCAGACTGAGGCCTTTCTCCCACTGAGGCAAACTAACACTGAGGCCTACCTAACTCACTGAGGCCCTTCTCCCATGGAGACCTCTCTCAGACTGAGGCCTTTCTCACACTGAGGCGAACTAACACTAAGGCCTTCTCATATTGAGGCCTACCTAACACACTGAGGCCCTTCTCCCACAGAGACCTCTCTCAGACTGAGGTGAACTAACACTGAGGCCTTCTCATATTGAGGCCTACCTAGTACACTGAGGCCCTTCTCCCACAGAGACTTATCTCAGACTGAGGCCTTCTCATATTGAGGCCTACCTAACACACTGAAGCCCTTCTCCCATAGAGACCTCTCTCAGGCTGAGGCCTTTCTCCCACTGAAGCGAACTAACACTGAGGCCGTCTCATACAGAGGCCTACCTAACACACTGAGGCCCTTCTCCCACAGAGACCTCTCTCAGACTGAGGCGACTAAGCTGAGAGAGGTCTCTGTGGGAGAAGGGCCTCAGTGTGTTGGTAGGCCTCAGTATGATTGTATAACCTTTACGTGTTCAGGATTCTGGGAATATTAGTGAAATGATAACGGGCTTACAAAATAGAAAGTTTGTTTATATCTCCATTGTCTTTGGACACCATTTCAGCAGGTCTGTCCCATCTGAAGCTTGTATTGTCAAATATTTCTCTCTCCATGCTGACTGTCTGCTAGATGCAAATTTGTTTACCTTTAAAATGATTGTATGGTAATAAGGTGATGATGGAAATATCGAAACAGCTCCAATGAAAGTATGTTCTCACAACCAGTTGTGTGTCTTAAAGAAACCTGTTAATCTATGGAAAGTAGGGCCTTATCATGCTGTCAAACGTAGATCTCAATTTTTGTTCTGATGTGATGCTTCTGTTTTCCTTTGGGTGGGGATTTCAAGTCAAGGTTAATGATTGCCAGTCTGAATGTTCGTTGGAAATGGATCCCATTGTTGTGTGTTCACACTCATCTGTGTCGTACTAGGTTTCCTCTTGCTCCATGTGTTGCAAAGAATGGGGACAGCAGGATGGTTTGTGTCCAGGAAGGTTGTTTCACTCCTTTGGCTGGCTGTTGTGTCTCCAGGTTACTATTGTTTGTGCGCGTGCTTGCGTGTGTACATGTGCATGAATTGCATGCGTGTGCGGTCTGCCTTTTGATCCCACTTGCGTCTTGCATGAGCTTGTATCAGCTGATGTCTTTGATTGTGTCTTTGAAGGCTGCTTCAAACATTGCACACTTCCTTCAGTGAGAAAGACCACAGAGCTGGCTTGTACCACCAAGGCAGAGTGGTGCAAGCAGGAGTATTATTAGGTTGCTGTGAGTTTTCCAGGCTGTCCTGGTCATGTTCCAGAAGCATTCTCTCCTGATGTTTCGCCCACATCTCTGACAGGCATCCTCAGAGGTTGTGAGGTCTGCTGCTCGACTCAGAGGTTGTGAGGAAAGAAAGAGGTAGAGAAGGAAGGAAGAGAAAGTAAGAAAAAAGGAAAGGAAGGAAAAAGGTAGAGAAGGTAGAAAGGAGAGGAAAAGGGAGGGAAGGAAAGACAGAAGTATGGATAGAAGCAAAAAGCAAAGGAAGAAAGGAAAGAGGTAGAGAAGGAAGGAAGGAGAGGAAAAGGGAGGGAAGGAAAGACAGAAGTATGGATAGAAGCAAAAAGCAAAGGAAGGAAGGAAAGAGGTAGAGAAGGAAGAAAGGAGAGGAAAAGGGAGGGAAGGAAAGACAGAAGTATGGATAGAAGCAAAAAGCGAAGGAAGGAAGGAAAGAGGTAGAGAAGGAAGAAAGGAGAGGAAAAGGGAGGGAAGGAAAGACAGAAGTATGGATAGAAGCAAAAAGCGAAGGAAGAAAGGAAAGAGGTAGAGAAGGAAGGAAGGAGAGGAAAAGGGAGGGAAGGAAAGACAGAAGTATGGATAGAAGCAAAAAGCAAAGGAAGAAGGAAAGAGGTAGAGAAGGAAGAAAGGAGAGGAAAAGGGAGGGAAGGAAAGACAGAAGTATGGATAGAAGCAAAAAGCGAAGGAAGGAAGGAAAGAGGTAGAGAAGGAAGGAAAGGAGAGGAAAAGGGAGGGAAGGAAAGACAGAAGTATGGATAGAAGCAAAAAGCGAAGGAAGGAAGGAAAGAGGTAGAGAAGGAAGGAAGGAGAGGAAAAGGGAGGGAAGGAAAGACAGAAGTATGGATAGAAGCAAAAAGCAAAGGAAGAAAGGAAAGAGGTAGAGAAGGAAGGAAGGAGAGGAAAAGGGAGGGAAGGAAAGACAGAAGTATGGATAGAAGCAAAAAGCGAAGGAAGGAAGGAAAGAGGTAGAGAAGGAAGGAAGGAGAGGAAAAGGGAGGGAAGGAAAGACAGAAGTATGGATAGAAGCAAAAAGCAAAGGATGGAAGAAAAGAGGAAGAGAAGGAAGAAAGGAGAAAAAGAGGGATGAAAAGAAAAAGGGGGAAGGATGAGGGAGAGAAGGAAAGAAAAAAGGGAAGGAAGGAAGGAAAGAGGGAGCGAAGGAATGAGGGAAAGAAAGAGAGAAAGAGGAAGGGAAAGTTGCCCACAGCAACGCGTGGCGGGTACAGCTAGTAGTAAATCTATATAAATAAAAATGTCATGTTCATTTGTGGGATTAACATAACTAAAAATCCACTGGATGAATTGAGACCAAATTTGGACACAAGATGCCTCTCAGGCCAACAAGTGACCCTCACTCATAAAAACACTGAAAAACAGAGCAGAGGGGATTTAAAAGGCAAAAAATAAAAATACATTGCAACACATGTGCAAAACCACAAATAAACACATATACACAAATAAATATATACACACACAAAACACACCTGTCCACAGACTGGGCCACAGCAACACATGGCAGGGGATGGCTAGTAAATAAAATAAATAAATATGTCTATCATTTGCGCTGGCTTCTAATGAGGCCATGCTTTTCCTTGACTAGTGGTTTTCCCAAGGTGGTCTCCACATGTTCGACTGGGGTGCCGTGTGCATCTTGTTTTAAGCAGCCTTTGGCTTTTCCCATGTTGTTGCTTAGCATGTTACTGATGGCAAAAGAAGAGGATTCTTCTCAATGGGAGGACTGACTCCCTATGGCTCCCATCTGACTCCGTTGCCTTCTGCTATGGTTGTTGTGAATGCAGTTCAGCGTCCAACCTTCATGTATATCTCGTGGACCCGCCGTGCTGCTTCCTCAACTCCTTGCTGCTTGTTTCCCGTGAATATATTTGCATGCGCTGCCCGTGTCCTTCATCATAGGCCAAGTTCCAATGGCGTGTTTCTGCCAGGTATTCCTGCTGCAACCAGAATTGGTGGCAACCCCTTTCGAAACGTAATGCTGGGGAATTCTCTGGAGGAGAACCTGGGGTGCCACGCAGTTCTGCTTATCATTACACACACACACATGTATACTCACACATACAGAGAGAGAGAGACCGGTGGCACAGTGGGTTAAACCTCTGAGCTGCTAAACTTGTTGACCGAAACGTCGCAGGTTCAAATCTGCGGCGTGAGCTTCCTCCGTCAGCCTCAGCTTCTGTCAACCTAGCAGTTCGAAAACATGCAAATGTGAGTAGATCAATAGGTACCGCTCTGACGGGGAGGTAAAGGTGCTCCTTGCAGTCATGCTGGCCACATGACCTTGGAGGTGTCTATGGACAACGCCGGCTCTTTGGCTTAGAAATGGAGATGAGCCACAACCCCCAGAGTCATAGAATCCTAGAATCAAAGAGTTGGAAGAGACCTCCTGGGCCATCCAGTCCAACCCCATTCTGCCAAGAAGCAGGGATATTGCATTCAAATCACCCCTGGCAGATGGCCACCCAGCCTCTGCTTCAAAGCCTACAAAGAAGGAGCCTCCACCACACTCCGGGGCAGAGAGTTCCACTGCTGAACGGCTCTCACAGTCAGGAAGTTCTTCCTCGTGTTCAGATGGAATCTCCTCTCTTGTAGTTTGAAGCCATTCTTCCCTTGCGTCCTAGTCTCCAAGGAAGCAGAAAGGAAGCTTGCTTCTCCTCCCTGTGGCTTCCTCTCACATATTTATTGTTTTATTGTTGTATTTGGGCTCGGCCTCTTGTAAGCCGAGTCCTTCGGGAGATGGTAGCGGGGTACAAATAAAGGTTTATTATTATTATTATTATTATTATTATTATTATTATTATTATACATGGCTATCATATCTCCTCTCAGCCTTCTCTTCTTCAGGCTAAACATGAAGAAGTCCAGACACAACTGGACTTAATGTTAGGGGAAAACCTTTAATAATAATAATAATAATAATTATTATTATTATTATTATTATTATTAATTGGGTTGTTGTAGGTTTTTCCGGGCTATATGGCCATGTTCTGGAGGCAATTTTTCTCCTGACGTTTCACCTGCATCTATGGCAAGCATCCTCAGAGGTAGTGAGGTCTGTTGGAAGTAGGAAAAATGGGTTTATATATCTGGAAATATATATAAATTCCTACTTCCAACAGACCTCACTACCTCTGAGGATGCTTCCCATAGATGCAGGCGAAACATAGATGCAGTAGGAAAAATGGGTGTATATATCTGTGGAATGACCAGGGTATGGAATGACCATTTTTCCTATTTCCAACAGACCTCACTACCTCTGAGGATGCTTGCCATAGATGCAGGCGAAACATAGATGCAGTAGGAAAAATGGGTGTATATATCTGTGGAATGACCAGGGTATGGAATGACCATTTTTCCTACTTCCAACAGACCTCACTACCTCTGAGGATGCTTGCCATAGATGCAGGCGAAACGTCAGGAGAGAATGCCTCTAGAACATGGCCATATAGCCCGGAAAAAAACCTACAACAACCCTATTATTATTATTATTATTATTATTATTATTATTATTATTATCTTTATTTATACCCCGCCACCATCTCCCCCAACGGGGAGTCAGAGCAGCTTACATGAGGCCAAGCCCAAACAACAAAATACAATAAGATACCAATTGCAATAAAATAAACAACATAGCATTAAAATAGAAAACAAATAAGCATATAAACAATATACATAAATATACACACACGCCGTTGGAACTTGGCTGTAGAATATAGTACAGAACTTTCATTTTTCTCTCTCAAAAATACCTGCATACATGTGGCAACTTGCCAACATCTCTCTGTTCCATTGATTTGCATCCTACCAATCTTCTCTCTTGCAACGTTTTCCTATATTTCTGCTCGGCCTCCTCCTAAGCCAGTGGTTTTCAAACTTACGTTCCAGGGAAGCATGGGTGTTGGGGTCAGATAGCAAGCCTCCGCATCACCATCATCCTTTTATTCCAGTGCTGTTTTCCCATCGCAGCGTCACATTTCAAAGAGGCTTCAAGTGCCATCTGGAAAAAGTTCCATCACCAAAAACTAAATTTTGATGTAATTCAATAATGGTTGCCACCTGAGATATAAACATAATCAAGGACTAGTGTAAACATCTAGGAATATACACTTAGATTAATCCACTAATACATTGCATCAAGCCTTTGTTGCTAATGCAGAGCTTCAAAAGGAAGGAAGGTGGAATCCACTTTCCAGAATTGGTGAGCCAGCAGGACCTAGAAACCTCCAATTTATCATTATACACAACAAGATGAGTACACAGCAAACAAGATCTCTCTGCTGGCTGTTGTTGGACACTTCCCAAGTGTCTAGGACTATGTGATGTGTCGGCGAATAATGCGCGCAGATCCGAGCAGGGCAGCCCTTTGCAGCTGACAGATGGTGATTTTGTCAGCGGCGATTGTTTTTAAGTTCAGACCAAGGTCTTGAGGCACTGCACCCAGTGTGCCAATCACCACTGAGACCACCTTGAGAGACTTGTGCCCGAGTCTTTGCAGTTCAATCTTTAAATCCTCATTATTATTATTATTATTATTATTATTATTATTATTATTATGTTTATTATTATTATTATGTTTATTATGTTTATTATTATTGACACAAAAGCACAGTATGTCACAGCAAACGAGATCTATATGCTGGATTTCGTATCACAAAATCACAAGTCGAACACTTCCAGGATTAAATATAATTTAATTCTGATGACGCAGCTGGTTAAACCGCTGAGCTGCTGAACTTGCTGACCGAAAGGTTGGTGATTTGAATCTGGGGAGCGGAGTGAGTTCTTGTTGTTAGCCCCAGCTTCTGCCAGCCTAGCAGTTTGCAAACATGCAAATGTTTATAATTATTAATATTATTTATATCCTGCTTTTTCTCTCGCCACAAAGGAGACTCAGAGTGGCTTCCATTATTAACATTTCAATACAATTTTAACATATACAGATATTAAAACAGGATTAAGTATAATTCAATTCTGATGGCGCAGCTGATTATACCGCTGAGCTGCTAAACTTGCTGACGGAAAGGTCGGTGATTTGAATCCGGGGAGTGGGGTGTGTTCCTGTTGTTAGCCCCAGCTTCTGCCAACCTAGCAGTTTGCAAACATGCAAATGTGAGTAGATCAATAGGTACCGCTCGGGCGGGAAAGTAACAGCGCTCCATGCAGTCATGCTGGGCACACAACCTTGAAGGTGTCTGTGGACAATGCCGGCTCTTCGGCTTAGAAATGGATATGAGCACCACCACCCCAGAGTTGGACACAACTAGACTCAATCTCAGGGAAAACCTTTTAGATTTTTTTTTGGGGGGGGGGGGACTGAAATAACACTTCTGAAGATATGCTCTATATGTTTTATGTACAATGGCATATCTTTGTTCCTAACAGTTCAGAGAGATATCCGGGTATATCAGTCTAACAGCTGAGGAACCTAAATGGCCTTGCATGGATCCTAGTGAATATTTACCACTAAGGAGAAGATTCATTCGAGCGAGTATTTACAAAAGTATTCTAAACAGTGTGAATGCCAATTCATCTCCAGAAAGGGTCCCATTTCCAAAAGGCTATGGAGATCCCAGGTTTCCCAAAAGGTTATGATCTCTAGAAGGTCGTGCCTTTCCAAAACATCTCTCGTTGAACAGGGAAGACCATAGGTAAGCCCAGAAGCAGGCGGGTCGGACACGACTAGACTTAACGCCAAGGGGAAACCTTTATGTTTACCTTTTAAATACCATTAAATACTCCTTACCTCTGAGCTGGGCAGAAAGGCCAGGCATAGGGACAAGGTGCACTCAGGTACTGATGGGAGTACCTGAGTGAACTGCAAAGGCCGTGGAAAATAGCCCAGCGCTTTCTGCAAAGCGTAGATATTATTCTCAACCATATTAATGGATGTGGAGAAGCTTCCCTGGAGTCTGAACAGTTTGAAAACCTCTGCCTTGCATTCTCTTGGTGCCTTTCGACTCACCTGCGCCATCTCCTCTCCTCCAGGGAAGGCCGCGGCCGGCGTGTTCTGGTGGCTGGGGACCGGGTGGTATCAACTCGTGACCCTGATTTCTTTGCTGAATGTGTTTCTTCTTACAAGGTATGTAAACATACATATTATTATTATTATTTTGCAGAATCTAATTCCATGTATATATTTCAAATAAAACTTGTGTGCCACCTTGGGAAGTCTGACTTGGCCACGGTGGTCCACGCTTTGGTTACATCCCGTTTAGACTACTGCAACGCTCTCTACGTGGGGTTGCCTCTGAAGACTGCCCGGAAGCTGCAGCTAGTCCAACGCTCGGCAGCCAGACTACTAACGGGTGCTGGGTACAGGGAGCACACCACTCCGCTGTTACACCAGCTCCAATGGCTGCCAATTAGCTTCCGAGCACAATTCAAAGTGCTGGTGTTAACCTATAAAGCCCTAAACGACTCTGGCCCTGTTTACCTCTCCGAACGTATTCTCCCCTACGAACCATCAAGATTATTAAGATCTAGGTTTTTGTGGGTTTTTTCGGGCTATAGAGCCATGTTCTAGAGGCATTTCTCCTGACGTTTCGCCTGCATCTATGGCAAGCATCCTCAGAGGTAGTGAGGTCTGTTGGAATTAGGACAATGGGTTTATATATCTGTGGAATGGCTGGGGTGGGGCAAAGAGCTCTTCTCTGCTGGAGCTAGGTGTGAATGTTTCAACTGACAACCTTCATTAGCATTTGAAGGCTTGGCTGAGCCTGGGAAAATCTTTTGTTGAGAGGTGTTAAGATGTTAGAGAAGTCAGCCATAGCAGAGCACCTGATGAACCAACCTAGACACAGCATATTATTTGAGAACACAGAAATGCTGGACCACACCAACAACCACCAGGTCAGGCTACATACACAGAGAAGCCATTGAAATCCACAAGCATGTGGACAATTTCAACAGAAAGGAAGAGACCATGAAAATGAACAAAATCTGGCTACCAGTATTAAAAAAACTCTAAAATTACAACAGCAAAACAACAGAGAGGAAACAACCAGGCACATCTTAACACCTCTCAACAAAAGATTTTCCCAGGCTCAGCCAGGCCTTCAAATGCTAATGAAGTGGTCAGTTGAAACATTCACACCTAGCTCCAGCAGAGAAGAGCTCTTTGCCCCCCCCCAGCCATTCCACAGATATATAAACCCATTTTTCCTACTTCCAACAGACCGCACAACCTCTGAGGATGCTTGCCATAGATGCAGGCGAAACGTCAGGAGAAATGCCTCTAGAACATGGCTCTATAGCCCGAAAAAACCCACAAGAACCTAGTGATTCCAGCCATGAAAGCCTTCGACATTATTTTTGAACGTATTCTCCCCTATGAACCATCTAGGTTGTTAAGATCGTCTGGAGGGGCCCTGCTCTCGGTCCCACCTGCCTCTCAGGCGCGTCCTGGTGGGGACGAGGGACAGGGCCTGCTCGGTGGTGGCCCCTCGACTCTGGAACTCTCTCTCACTGGAGATCAGAACTGCTCCCTCCATTCTGTCGTTCAGAAAACGGGTGAAGACTTGGTTATGGAGACAGGCATTCGACAAGTGAGCCAACACCCTGAGATATGGATGGAGGATGATGAGCAACGATTTTAGTGTGACGACTAACCATTGTAGTTATTGATTGTAATTGCTGTTTTAATGTTTTACTGTAATATGAAGTATGATGTTTTATTGACTGTATGTGATATTATGGTTGGAAACCGGTCTGAGTCCCTCAAGAGAGGTGAGAAAGTCGGTATACAAAACTTTTAAATAAATAAATAAAATAAAATAAATAAAATTTAAAACCCGTGTTTATAGATTAGATCAGGCCTGGGCCAACCTGGTCCCTCCAGGTGTTTTGGACTTCAACTCCCTCAATGCCTAATTTGTTATTTATTTATTTATTTATTTAGAACATTTTTACCCCGCCCTTCTCAACCCGGGGGGAGGGGGGGCTCAGGGCGGCTGTTAGGGATTGTGAATGTTGCCATTGGCAACATTAAGATCATCCGGGGACATTAAGATCGTCCGGGGAGGCCCTGCTCTCGATCCCGCCAGCCTCACAAGCACGGCTGGCGGGGACGAGAGACAGGGCCTTCTCAGTGGTGGCCCCTCGGCTGTGGAACGCCCTTCCCGCGATTGGCCCCCTCCCTGCTGGCGTTCAGGAGAAGAGTGAAGACCTGGCTCTTTGAACAGGCATTTAATTAAGCAGTGCAATCAATTGATTGATCTTGGAACTTGGAATAATGGACGAGGAAATCGGATTATGACTTTACTGATGAGACGTGATGGATTAGTTATATGGATGTATTGATTATATAGAATCATAGAATCAAAGAGTTGGAAGAGACCTCATGGGCCATCCAGTCCAACCCCCTGCCAAGAAGCAGGAATATTGCATTCAAATCACCCCTGACAGATGGCCATCCAGCCTCTGCTTAAAAGCTTCCAAAGAAGGAGCCTCCACCACACTCCCTCGGGGCAGAGAGTTCCACTGCTGAACGGCTCTCACAGTCAGGAAGTTCTTCCTCATGTTCAGATGGAATCTCCTCTCTTGTAGTTTGAAGCCATTGTTCCATTGCGTCCTAGTCTCCAGGGAAGCAGAAAACAAGCTTGCTCCCTCCTCCCTGTGGCTTCCTCTCACATATTTATGCATGGCTATCATATCTCCTCTCAGCCTTCTCTTCTTCAGGCTAAACATGCCCAGTTCCCTAAGCCGCTCCTCATAGGGCTTGTTCTCCAGACCCTTGATCATTTTAGTCGCCCTCCTCTGGACACATTCCAGCTTGTCAATATCTCTCTTGAATTGTGGTGCCCAGAATTGAACACAATATTCCAGGTGTGGTCTAACCAAAGCAGAATAGAGGGGTAGCATTACTTCCTTAGATCTAGACACTATGCTCCTATTGATGCAGGCCAAAATCCCATTGGCTTTTTTTGCCGCCACATCACATTGTTGGCTCATGTTCAACTTGTTGTCCACGGGAACTCCAAGATTTTCACACATACTGCTCTCGAGCCAGGCGTCCCCCATTCTGTATCTTTGCATTTCATTTTTTCTGCCAAAGTGGAGTATCTTGCATTTGTCACTGTTGAACTTCATTTTGTTAGTTTTGGCCCATCTCTCTAATCTGTCAAGATCATTTTGAATTCTGCTCCTGTCCTCTGGACTATTGGCTATCCCTCCCAATTTGGTGTCGTCTGCAAACTTGATGATCCTGCCTTCTAGCCCTTCATCTAAGTCATTAATAAAGATGTTGAACAGGACCGGGCCCAGGACGGAACCCTGTGGCACTCCACTTGTCACTTCTTTCCAAGATGAAGAGGAAGCATTGGTGAGCACCCTCTGGGTTCGTCCATTTAACCAATTCAGATCCACCTCACCGTAGTTTTGCCTAGCCCACATTGGACTAGTTTCCTTGCCAGAAGGTCATGGGGAACCTTGTCAAAGAAGGCCTTCCTGAAATCCAGACACGCTCCATCCACGGCATCATTCCCCGCATCTACCCAGCTTGTAACTCTATCGAAAAAAGAGATCAGATGAGTCTGGCATGACTTGTTTTTGATAAATCCATGTTGACTATTAGCGATGACTGCATTTGTTTCTAAGTGTTTGCAGACCGCTTCCTTAACAATCTTTTCCAGAATCTTGCCTGGTATCGACGTGAGGCTGACCGGACGGTAATTGTTTGGGTCATCCTTTTTTCCCTTCTTGAAGATTGGGACCACATTGGTCCTCCTCCAATCTGCTGGAACTTCTCCCGTTCTCCAAGAACTCTCAAAGATGGTTGCCAATGGTTCCGAAATGACTTCTGCTAGTTCCTTCAATACTCTGGGGTGTAGTTGATCTGGCCCTGGGGACTTGAACTCATTAAGAGCGGCCAGGTATTCCTGGACGACTTCTTTCCCAATTTGGGGTTGGATGTCCTCCAATCCCTCATCCACTCCATCTTGCTGAGGTTGAAGACTCTCTTTTTGTGAGAAGACCGAGGCAAAGAAGGCATTAAGTAGTACTGCCTATGTTATATTGATGTACTGATGTATTGTTATATTGATGTAGTTGCCTTAGTTACTGTTTTAATTGCTAATGTTGTGCACTTTGTATATTGGTTTGGTTGTAAACCGCACTGAGTCGCCTACGGGCTGAGAGAGTGCAGGTATACAAATAAAGTAAATAAATAAATAAATAAATTGGCCACCTTGATTAGCCTTGAATGGTATTATAGCTTCAAAGCCTGGCTGCCTGTCTGGAATTCCCCATGAAAATGAATAAAATCTGGCTACCATTATTTTTTTTAAAAAAACCCTAAAATCAGGACAGTAAATAAAGAGCAGCACTCAAAAGGGAATTCCAGACAGGAAACAATCAGGGCCAACTAACACCTCCCAACAAAGGATTCTCCCCAAGGGACTCGGTGCGGCTTACATGAGGCCGAGCCCACAATACAACAATAAACAATAGCAACAGTAATACAAAACAATAAATAAACTCATAAGCAGAAAATAAGCAATAAACATTAACAATAACACGACGCATTAAAAAACCTATGGCTGGGCCAAATGTAATAATTAAATTTTTAAAATAATGCTGGGCATGACAAGGGGACACATGTTACATACCATAATGAGCCTTTTTTCACCACCCGTATGTTGTAAAGCAACTCTCCTAATATTTTCCCATTAAGAGTGTCTAGGAGTGCGGTGTTGTTTGGAGTTGTTTATAGTCGTAATTCCGTTTTAGAATCACTTAGCCTTTGGAGATATATTGAGCAAACATACAGATTGATTCAGGCTTTTCATTGCGGTGACAAATGTGTTTACGTGAAATTCCGGTCTCTCTTTTCCAGATGCCTTCCAAAGATATTCAGGTTATTGCTGTTCCTTCTCCCGTTGTTGCTGTTACTTGGTGAGTGGATATTAAGACGTATTGACGTTTTATGCCAAATGTTAGTTCCATGTTCTCTAATTTTTTTTCCCCAAGAGCAGAGTGGAGGATGATCGAGATCAGTAGCCTTAAGGTGGACACTTCAGCCACCAGTAGAAAAAATTATGAAGCGTAACGGATGGTATCTTGAGCCATTTTTAAAAGGGTAGCACACATCAACAATATCTGAGAAGCCATTAAAGTCAGCACAGTGTATTTAATTCTTTTTTAATGTTTGCGTATTTGTATATTTTACATTGTATTGCCAATGTTTTTATGTCAAGCCGCTTTTGAGTCTCCTTCGGGAGAGATAAAGCAAGGTATAAATAAATATACCGTATGTACTGAAAAAGCACCCCCCTCCCGCCATTGGCTTACACTCAAGACAAAGTTATTTATTATTTTACTAGGTTATTATTATTATTATTATTATTATTATTATTACATTCATTATTTTACTCTATTATTATTACATTTATTATTTTTCTCTGTTTTTTATTATTATTACATTATTATTTTTACTTTATTGTTGTTGTTATTACATTTATTATTTTACTCTATTATTACATTTATTATTTTCCTCTGTGTATTATTATTACATTCATTATTTTACTCTCTTTATTATTATTATAACACTTATTATTTTCCCTATTTATTATTATTATTACATTTATTATTTTACTCTGTTATTATAGCAGTCATTATTTTACTTTATTATTTTTGTTGTTATTACATTTATTATTTTACTCTCTTTATTATTGTTATTATTACACTTATTATTTTTCCCTATTTATTATTATTATTACATTTATTATTTTACTCTGTTATTATTACATTCATTATTTTACTTTATTATTTTTGTCATTATTACATTTATTATTTTACTCTTTATTATTATTATTACACTTATTATTTTCCCTATTTATTGTTATTATTACATTTATTATTTTACTCTATTTATTATAGTTATGATTGATTACATTTATTATTTTCTCTATTTATTATTACATTTATTATTTTACTCTGTTATTGTTATTCTTATACTTATTTTTCCTGTTTATTATTATTATATTTATTATTTTCCCCATTTACTATTATTACATTTATTTTACTCTGTTTATTATTGTTATTATTATATTTATTATTTTACTCTGTTATTATTACATTCATTATTTTACTTTATTATTTTTGTTGTTATTACATTTATTATTTTACTCTTTATTATTATTATTACACTTATTATTTTCCCTATTTATTATTATTATTACATTTATTATTTTACTCTATTTATTATAGTTATGATTGATTACATTTATTATTTTCTCTATTTATTATTACATTTATTATTTTACTCTGTTATTGTTATTCTTATACTTATTTTTCCTGTTTATTATTATTATATTTATTATTTTACTCCATTTACTATTATTACATTTATTTTACTCTGTTTATTATTGTTATTATTATATTTATTATTTTACTCTGTTATTATTACATTCATTATTTTACTTTATTATTTTTGTCATTATTACATTTATTATTTTACTCTTTATTATTATTATTACACTTATTATTTTTCCCTATTTATTATTATATTACATTTATTATTTTACTCTCTTTATTATTGTTATTATTATATTTATTATTTTACTCTGTGTATTATTATTACATTTATTATTTTACTTTATTATTACATTTCTTTTACTGTTATTATTACATTCATTATTTTACTTTATTATTGTTATTATTACATTTATTGTTTTAGTCTCTTTATTATTGTTATTGTTGTACTTATTTTCCCTATTTATTATAGTTATTATTACATTTATCATTTTCTCTATTTATTATTATTACATTTATTATTTTACTCTCTTTGTTATTGTTATTATTACACTTATTTCTCCTGTTTATTATTATTACATTTATTATTTTACTCTCTTTATTATTTTTATCATTACATTATTTTACTCTATTTACTATTATTACTTTTATTATTTTACTTTATTATTGTTATTATTATATTTATTATTTTACATTTTATTACATTTATTATTTTACTCTATTATTATTGGAACGATATGTAAGCACATTTACATTGAAGAAGGTCAGAATAATGATTTAATCGGAGTCTTATCTTAAATTAGTTTTATGTAAATTCTCAAAAACATTTAACCTACGGATGCCTCAATTAATGTAATTTTATGGGTATCTATTTTTATTTTGAAATTCACCCATAGCTGCTGCATTTCCCACCCTCGGCTTATACTCAAATCAATACATTTTTCCAGTTTTTTGTGGCAAAATTAGGTGCCGTGGCTTATATTCAGGTCGCTTATATTCAAATATATATACAGGTAATAATGATAATAATTGTGAGTTAAAAGCCAGTTGACTGATCACACCTTAGAGTATTAAACACTATATTTGGGCCGCTTACAGTTTCTGAAAGCTAGTTTTATCTTGTTGACCTGACTTTGAAATGTTGTGAAACCTTTCATTTTTCTTTTGGAAGCCTCTTCTGCTTTTCTTTTTGAATCCTCCTGCTTTAGGCTTATGGCACTGGGGCGCAGAAGGGTTCCTTTCCTTATTCCCAGCTTTGAATTGGACAAGCTTTCACAGAACGTACAGGTGGGAAGATGCTGCAACAGGTGTCGAACCTCATCCAGGCTCATCGTATGCTGTCCAGCACTCAGATGTAAGCTGTCCTTCCTATGTTCTTTTCAGGCAGGGGATGATGGGAGTTGTAGAGCACTACATCTGAAGATAGGGGATTGGGGAAAGGCTTGCTCTCACCATAACTTCTCACACCAAGCCTTCTCAAACTGAGGCCTACTAACATCCTGAGGCCTTTCTCCCACTGAGGCCTTCTCACACTGAGATCCTTCTCAGACTGAGGCCTTTATTCCATTGAGGCCTTCTAACACTGAGATCTCTTTCAGGCTGAGGCTTTATCCCACTGAGGCCTTCTCACACTGCGATCTCTCTCAGACTGAGGCCTTTCTCCCACTGAGGCCTTCTCACACTGAGGCCTTTCTCGCACTGAGATCTCTCTCAGACTGAGGCCTTTCCCCACTGAGGCCTTCTCACACGGAGATCTCTCTCAGGCGGAGGCCTTTCTCCCACTGAGGTCTCTCTCAGACTGAGGCCTTTCTCCCACTGAGGCCGTCTCACACTGAGGTCTCTCTCAGACTGAGGCCTTTCTCCCACTGAGGCCTTCTCACACTGAGATCTTTCTCAGACTGAGGCCTTTATTCCATTGAGGCCTTCTAACACTGAGATCTCTTTCAGGCTGAGGCTTTATCCCACTGAGGCCTTCTCACACTGCGATCTCTCTCAGACTGAGGCCTTTCTCCCACTGAGGCCTTTCTCGCACTGAGATCTCTCTCAGACTGAGGCCTTTCCCCACTGAGGCCTTCTCACACGGAGATCTCTCTCAGGCGGAGGCCTTTCTCCCACTGAGGTCTCTCTCAGACTGAGGCCTTTCTCCCACTGAGGCCTTCTCACACTGAGGCCTTTCTCCCACTGAGGTCTCTCTCAGACTGAGGCCTTTCTCCCACTGAGGCCATCTCACACTGAGGTCTCTCTCAGACTGAGGCCTTTCTCCCACTGAGGCTGTCTCACACTGAGGTCTCTCTCAGACTGAGGGAAGGATCTTTTTTTCGGGTTTCCTACTTTTCTATCTTCTATAGTATTGTTCTCCCTCTTTCCTTGTGTTGATGTCTAAAATGTTTAATAAAAATTATTAAATAATAATAATAATAAATATTAAATATTTAATAATTCTGACAATATTTATAAAATCAGAATTAATTGCTGGCCATTTAACTCTCACATTTTTGTAATCAAAAATACCTAGTTAATTTTGTAATAATTCTGACAATATTTAATTATAATAATAATATTAAATATTTAATAATTCTGATGATATTTATAAAATCAGAACTCATTGCTGGCCATTTAACTCTCACATTTTTGTAATTAAAAATACCTAGTTAATTTTGTAATAATTCTGACAATATTTATTATTAATAATAATTAATATTTAATAATTCTGACAATATTTATAAAATCAGAATTCATTGCTGGCCATTTAACTCTCACATTTTTGTACTTAAATATACCTAGTTAATTTTGTAATAATTCTGACAATATTTAATAATAATAATTAATATTTAATAATTCTGACAATATTTATAAAATCAGAACTCATTGCTGGCCATTTAACTCACATTTTTGTAATTAAAAATATCTAGTTAATTTTGTAATAATTCTGACAATATTTAATAATAATTGCATTATAAAATCAGAATTAATTGTTGGCTATTTAACTCACTTTTTTGTAATTAAAAATACCTAGTTAATTTTGTAATAATTCTGACAATATGTAATAATAGTAAATATTTAATATTTAATAATTCTGACAATATTTATAAAATCAGAACTCATTGCTGGCCATTTAACTCTCACATTTTTGTACTTAAATATACCTAGTTAATTTTGTAATAATTCTGACAATATTTAATAATAATAATATTAAATATTAAATAATTCTGACAATATTTATAAAATCAAAATTCATTGCTCGCCATTTAACACTCACACTTTTGTAATTAAAAATACCTAGTTAATTTTGTAATAATTCTGACAATATTTAATAATAATTGCGTTATAAAATCAGAATTCATTGCTGGTGCTATCATTGTTTTCATTTTTCTAGTCTTTTTTAATGCTTATTCATTTCCAAGTTGCCAGAAAGGTGTGATGGGAGCATTATACAACCATGCGCTTATCCATTTTTAGGAAACGCTGAAGTTCTTGGACGCAAGCCGCGTGCATGAGCTGGAAAAGCAGTTGGCCTTAATGTCGGAGCGATGGCACCACCGGGAAGAAGAGTATCGCCACATGCTGCTCCTGCTGCAGAACATGCAGGACCAAGTGGCCCAGATGAGCGACAAGAGCGAAACCTTGGTCTTAATTAAAAACATTGTGGGCCAGCACCTGAAAGAGATGCAACCCCATCAAACAGCGGTAATCCCGTTTGGGAGCCCTTTTCGGTTGTTGTTTTGATGCTTTTTTTGTAGGAGGAAGATGGTTTCGGAAAGGGAACTGACGGGATGATGCATTGGAATTTGTGTGGGTTGAGCATCACGATGCATTGTGGGTTGAGCATAAGCAGTCACAGTTTGGTGCTCTTGTCTCCTATGTTATGCTAATAATATAATATATAATACTAGCCGTCCCCTGCCACACGTTGCTGTGGCCCACATGGGGGTTCTGTGTGGGAGGTTTGGCCCACTTCTACTGTTGGTGAGGTTCAGAATGCTCTGTGATTGTAAGTGAACTATAAATCCCAGCAACTACAACTCCCAAATGTCAAGATTCTATTTTCCCCAAACTCCATCAGTGTTCACATTTGGGCATATTGAGTATTCGTGTAGAGTTTGGTCCAGACCCATCATTGTTTGAGTCCACAGTGATCTCTGAATGTGTATCTCTTCATACACACACATGTATATCTATATATATAAATCTGTTAGGGGCGTTAAACGGGACAGCAAAACTCAAAAAAAACCCTGACGAAAATTTACCAAATTTTCCATGCCCATACCTCAACCCACAAGGTATGCACAAATCGATTCAAAATACTAAACAACATTAAAACACACTCACAATTAGACAAAACAACTGAGCATGCGCAATGGCGCCCCGCCGGAAGTCCCCGGCGCACGCACATGGCCGAACGGCCAATGGACCTTCCACGCAAGCCACGCCCCCATCCTCCCCCCCCCCCACACACCCACTCCTCCTCCCCCGCCCACGCCCCCTCCAAGGAAGCCACGCCCCCTCCAAACCCCGCCCCGCCCTGTCAAAATCCATCCCTCCTCCCCCTCCTTCTTCCCCCGCCCACGCCCCCTCCACGGAAGCCACCCCCCTTCCAAACCCCGCCCACCCTGTCAAAATCCATCCCTCCTCCCCCTCCTTCTCCTCCCCCGCCCACGCCCCCTCCACGGAAGCCACCCCCCTTCCAAACCCCGCCCACCCTGTCAAAATCCATCCCTCCTCCCCCTCCTTCTCCTTCCTCCGCCCACGCCCCCTCCACGGAAGCCACCCCCCTTCCAAACCCCGCCCACCCTGTCAAAATCCATCCCTCCTTCTCCCTTCCCCCGCCCACGCCCCCCGAAGCCCCGCCCACCCCCACCGACACGACGGAATTAAACCAAACGTGGCACACAGGACTCCCATGACCCAACAGAAAGCACGAGAAGGGTTTGGTAAGCAATGGGAAGGAAGAAAGGAAGGAGGGAAGGCAGGAAAGAAAGAGGTACCGAAGGAAGGAAGAAGAGAAAGTAGAAAGGAAAGGAAAATAAAAGGAAGGAAAGGCAGGAAAGAGGTAAAGAAGGAAGGAGAAAAGGAAATAAAAAGTGAAAGAAGGAAGGAAACATGGGAGGGAAGAAAGGAGGCAAAGGAAGAAAGGGGGAGGGAATGAAGGAAAGAGAGAAGGATGAAACCAAGGAGTGAAAAAAGGAAAGAAAGAAAGATAGAGGTAGAGAAGGAAGAAAGGAGAGAAAGGGGGAGAAAAAGGGGGAAGGAATAGGTAGGTACCTCTCTTTCATAATACTCCAGATATCTACCTCTACTTTGAAAAGTTTTACTATAGGCCACAGCAACACGTGGCAGGGCACAGCTAGTAGATATATATATGCACAAACACACACAGATATACACATACACACAAACATACATATGCATACACACTAGGGCTGGGCGGTTTCGTTTCGTAATTTTGTAATTTGTTAAAAATTCGTTATTTTTTTTATATATAACGAAGCGATAACGAACCATTCAGGAGCAACTAAAAAACGAAACGAATTTTTAAATTCGTTTCGCAATTGTTTCGAATTAGTTTTGTATTCGTTTCGTTATCGTTTTGAAATCGTTTCGTTATTATTTCCGCATGTCGCGAGTCGCCCCAGGGCTGAGAGCGGCGGTCAACAAATGCACCAAATGTCTGGGGCAAGTTTTATAGTTGTTGTTTGTTTAATCAGTGAAAAAAAATTATAAATATCACACCAACAGTCAACAACAGAGGGAGAGGGAAGCTTCAGAAGTTCCCCCTGTCCCATTTGGACGGGTTTTTTAGCGTACTGCGCGGTCGCGTCCGCCATTAACGAATCGATTCGTAATTGTTTCGTTATTGTTTCGTATTGTTTTGTAATTTACGAAATTTCGTAAATATCGAACTTTTTAAAAGAAAAAATTCGGAATTCTTTTAAAAATCGAAACGCAAAAACCCCCCCAAAAAACGAATCGATTTTAGAAACAAATTTTTCCGTGGTTGCCCAGCCCTAATACACACAGATATACATATACACATGCACACACATATACACAATATGCATGCACACATATAAATACACAAATATATACACACACATACACACACACACATATATATGCAAGCACGCACATATACACAAATATACACGCACACAAAACACATATACACAGACTGGGCCACAGCAACAGGTGGCAGGGGACAGCTAATATAATATAATATAGTATAATATAATATAATGCAGTGGTTCTCAACCTTCCTAATGCCGCGACCCCTTAGTACAGGTCCTCATGTTGTGGTGACCCCCAACCATAATGTTATTTTCGTTGCTACTTCACAACTGTAATTTTGCTACTGTTATGATTCGTAATCTAAATATCTTATATGCAGGATGTATTTTCAGTCACTGGAATAAATTTGGCACAAATACCCAATACGCCCAAATTTGGCGAGGTTGGGGGTGATTGATTTTGTCATTTGGTAATGCTGGAGTTGCTGGGATTTATAGTTCACCTAAAATCAAAGAGCCTTCTGAACTCCACCAATGATGGAATTGAATCAAACTTGGCACACAGAATTCCCATGACCAAGAGAAAATACTGGGAAGGTCTGGTGGACATTGACCTTGAGGTTTTTGGAGTTGTAGTTCACCTACTTGCAGAGAACACTGTGGACTCAAGCAATGATGGATCTGGATCAAACTTGGCACAAATACTCAATATGCCCAAATGTGAACACTGGTAGAGTTTGGAGAAAATAGACCTTGCCATTTGGGAGTTGTAATTGTTGGGATTTATAGTTCACCCACAATGAAATAGCATTCTGAACCCCACCGATAGAATTGGACCAAACTTTCCACACAGAACCCCCATGACCAACAGAAAATACTATGTTTTCTGATGGTCTTTGGTGACCCCTCTGACACCCCCTCGCGACCCCCACAGGGGTCCCGACCCCCAGGTTGAGAAACACTGCTCTATAGAGTCATATTTATAATATTATTTATTTATTTATTTCGTGTACTTCTACCCCGCCCTTCTCAACCCCCGAGGGGGGACTCAGGGCGGCTTACAAAAGGCACAATTCGATGCCTACACAATAATACAGATAAAAATATATAGACAGCAATTAAACAGTTATAACAGTTAAAACAATCAATATATATGACAGTCAATAAAATCAATCTTATGCTCAACGTTCACAACTCAGAGTCCGTAAATTCATTCCACATTTTCCATTCCTATCAATCGCCATTTTACTTTATTTATCTGCCAGATTGCTCAAACGCCTGATCCCAAATCCATGTTTTTAATTTCCTTCTAAAGGAAAGGAGGGATGACGATGATCTAATTTCCCCGGGGAGTGAATTCCATAGGCAAGGGGCCACCACCGAGAAGGCCCTGCTCCTCGTCCCCGCCAATCTCACTTGTGATAAAGGCAGGGCCGAGAGCAGGGCCTCCCCGGAAGATCTTAAACTCCGAGGTGGGACGTAGAGGGAGATGCGTTTGGACAGATACACTGGGCCGGAGCCATAAAGGGTTTTGTAGGTCAAGACCAGCACTTTGAATTGTGCTCGGAACTGGATCGGCAGCCAGTGGAGCTGACATAGCAGAGGGGTGGTATGCTCCCTGTATGACACTCCGGTGAGTAATCCCGCTGGACTAATTGAAGTTTCCAAACAGTCTTCAAAGGCAACCCCATGTAGAGTGCGTTGCAGTAATCTATCCGGGATGTAACAAGATGCAGTAATCTATCCTGGATGTAAAAGTGCAATCTAACAAGTGATATCAGTTGGGAGCCCATTCCATCATTGGTGGAGTTCAGAATGCTCTTTGATTGTAGGTTAACTATAAATCCTAGCAACTACAACTCCCAAATGATACAGAATTCCCATGACAAACAGGGAATACTGGAAGAGTTTGGTGGACATTGACCTTGAGTTTTGGAGTTGTAGTTCACCTACATCCAGAGAGCACTGTGGACACAAACAATGATGGATCTGGACCAAACTCTATACGAAGACTCAATATGCCCAAATGTGAACACTGGTGGAGTTTGGGGAAAATAGAACCTTGACATTTGGGAGTTGTAGTTGCTGGGATTTATAGTTCACCTACAATCACAGAGCATTCTGAACCCCACCAATGATAGAATTGGGCCAAACCTCCCACGAGCACCAGAGTGGGCCGCAGAAACGTGTGGCAGGGGACGGCTAGTCTATATAAATAAAAATGTAATGTTCGTTTGTGGGATGAACAAAACTCAAAAAACACTGGACGAATTGACAACAAATTCGGACACAAGACACCTAACAACCCAATGTATGTCCTTCACTCATAAAAACACAACAGAGGGGACTTTAAAAGCCTCAAAAAGCTAAATGATGAAAAGGTAAATGACAATACAGAAAAAAAGGAAGAAAGAGGGAAGGAAGGGGGGAAAAGAAAGAAAGAAAAGAAAGAGGGAGGGAGGGAAAGAAAGAAAGAAAGAAAGAAAGAAAAAAGAAAGAAAGAAAGAAGAAAGAAGGAAGAAGGGAGAAGGAAGCATGGAAGCAAAGAGAGAAGGAAGGAAGGAAAGAAGGAAGGAAAGAGGTAGAGAAGGAAGAAAGGAGAGAAAGAGGGAGGGAAAGAAAAAGGGGGAAGGAAGGAAAGTTAGAGAAGGAAAGAAAAAAGGAAAAGAAGGAAGGGGGGAAGGTGTAGAGAAAGAGGGAGGGAAGAAAAGAAGGAAAGAGAAGGAAGGAAAGAGAGACAGCAGAAGAGAAAGAAAAGGGGGAAGGAAGGAAAGAGAGAAGGAAGGAAGAAGAGAAGGAAAGATGGGAAGGAAGGAAGGAAAGAGGGAGTGAGGGAAGGAAGGAGGGAAAGAAGGAGAGAAAGAGAGAAGGTTGGCCACAGCAACGTGTGGCGGGTACAGCTAGGCTATATAAATAAAAATGTAATGTTCCTTTGTGGGATGAACATAACTCAAAAACCACTCAAAAACCACTGGACGAATTGACACCAAATTTGGACACAAGGCACCTCTCAGGCCAACAAGTGACCATCACTCATAAAAAATTGATAAACACAGCAGAAGAAGGAAGTGAAGGAAAAAGGGAAAGAAGGGGAGAAAGAGGGAGGGAAGGAAGGAAGGGAGAAGGAAAGGGAAAGATGGAAACAAAAAGTTAAGGAAGGAAGGAAAGAAAGAGGTAGGGAAGAAAGAAAGGAGAGAAAGAGAAAGAAAAAGCGGGAGGAAGGAAAGAGGTAAAGAAGGAAGGAACGAGAGAAGGACAGGGAAAAAAGGAAGGAAGGAAAGAGGGAGTTAAGGAAGAAGAAAAAGAAGGAGAGAAAGAGGGAGGGAAGGAAAGATGGAATCAAAAAGATAAGGACGGAAGGAAAGAGGTAGAGAAGGAAGAAAGGAGAAAAAAAGGAAGGAAAAGAAAAGGGGGAGGAAGGAAAGAGGTAGAGAAGGAAGGAAGGAGAGAAGGGAAGAAAAAAAGGGAATGAATGGTTGGGGGTCACCACAAGTGTATTGAGGGGTCGCTGCATTAGGAAGGTTGAGGAACACTGCTTCAGAACAACGTTGTCCCATTTTGTTTTCAAAGATCGACGCCTTGGCCTTGCAGCAAGAACATGGATGGCGCATCGCGGCTTTAGAAGATCTCCTTGCAAAACTCTCCGAAAAATCCGAGGTAAAAGATCGGCTTATTCTTATCCAATGCTCAGTAATGAAGGCTGTCAATTACCTAGGATAATGTTAAGGAAGCCTAATCCAGGGGGTGCTTTGAAACCAATAGTGGGAGAGGAATACGAGGGATATGTCGTTTGCATCTTCCAGACCTTGCAAGAAGTCCCAAGTGCGACTTCCAGGAATATTAATGCCCTGCTAGACTTAAAAATTCCAAAGGAAACCATACACCTCTGTATTTATTTCTTTATTTATTTCGGTTGCTTCTACCCCGCCCTTCTCACCCCGGGGGGGACTCAGGGCGGTTTACAAAAGCGAGGCACAATTCGATGCCCGCATCACATTAACAGCAAAAGACAATAACATCATTTAACAACAACAATTCGATCAATAACAGCAATTACCATAAGACAATAATTATAATAGGTAAAAACCCATACAAACCTCCTTGACAGTCAGTGTTTCACAATCTCATAGTTTAAATTCCAATTCCATAATTGTCAGTCCTTTTAGTCCTATCCATCTGGTTTCCATATCTAATTGTCAGGTTGCCCAAAGGCCTGGTCCCACAACCACGTCTTTACTTTCCTCCTGAAGGAGAGGAGGGATGTTGATGCCCTAATTTCCCCCGGGAGTGAGTTCCACAAGTGAGGTGCCACCACCGAGAAGGCCCTGCTCCTCGTCCCCACCAGCCTCGCTTGTGATAGCGGTGGGGTTGAGAGCAGGGCCTCCCCGGATGATCTCAGACTCCGGGGTGGGACGTAGAGGGAGATACGTTCGGACAGATACTCTGGACCGGAACCGTAAAGGGTTTTGTAGGTCAAAACTAGCACCTTGAATTGTGCTTGGAATTGAACCGGTGGAGCTGACACAGCAAGGGGGTGGTGTGCTCTCTGTATGTTGCCCCGGTGAGCAGTCTGGCTGCCGTTCGCTGGACCAATTGAAGTTTCCGAACAGTCTTCAAGGGCAACCCCATGTAGAGTGTGTTGCAGTAGTCTAAACGGGATGTAACAAGAGCGTGGACCACTGTGGCTGTATAGGAACATTCCACTTCAACGGTGTGCAGAAGCAGCCCAGATTAACTGTCCTGGCTTTGATCCCTCAAGATTTCACTCAAGAGAGGGATCAGGCAAAAAGAAGAAGAAATAAGATTAAAATCCCCATGTTCCAGTCATGTGACCCAGAGTCTTAGGCCGGACTCCATATGTCAGGTGGCATTGCTCGTCCTCCGAAAGGCGAGAGACCCGTGCTCTCCTTTCCTGCCACTTCCTCCCCTTCCCCCCTCCTCGCCATCTGTTCAGCTAATTGGCAAAAGTTGGATTATAATAGCAACCACCTTTAAGAGTTGTTTAAGAAGGATTTTTTCCCCAAGCCATATGCAACTTGTGCTGGAAATCTAGCATTGCTCCTCTGCAGACAGCCCTTTGTCATGAGAAATCAAATGGTTTAGAATAACACAGAGTTACCTTGTATAGAATCATAGAATCATAGAATCAAAGAGTTGGAAGAGACCTCATGGGCCATCAAGTCCAACCCCATTCTGCCAAGAAGCAGGAATATTGCATTCAAATCACCCCTGACAGATGGCCATCCAGCCTCTGTTTAGAAGCTTCCAAAGAAGGAGCCTCCACCACACTCTGGGGCAGAGAGTTCCACTGCTGAACGGCTTTCATAGAGCTTCATATCTAATATAACTATTAGTCATGTGCATTGGGGGCTTACCTTCATCCATTGTGTGTCCTGGCTTTCGGTGGGGGCCCTAGTCCCTTTCGTCTAATCCTCCCAAAATTGTGAGGTCAGATATTTGGGGTGGGGAGCTGAAAGATCCATTTTCTTTCAGCCCATTATTGGGGGGGGGGGGGATTTCACCCCATAAGCCCAAAGCGCCCGGGCCTACGGGTGAAGGCTTTGGGTCTATGTGTCTGGGCCTGGCAGGACCTGCAGCTGAACAACGAAACAGGAAGGCCCTCCTGAAATGAAAATAATAATAATAATAATAATAATAATAATAATAATAAACTTTATTTATACCCGCCTCCATTTCCCCCAGGGGGACTTGGTGCAGCTTACATGAGGCCAAATCCATCAGTGCAGTACATACATTGTAATACGAATTACAATCAAAGAAAATTGCTGGAAGAAACATTAACAACCTCAGATATGCAGATGACACCACTCTGATGGCTGAAAGCGAGGAGGAGCTGAGGAGCCTTCTAATCAAGGTGAAAGAAGAAAGCGCAAAAGCTGGGTTGCAGCTAAACATCAAAAAAACCAAGATTATGGCAACAAGAATGATTGACAACTGGGAAATAGAGGGAGAAAATGTGGGGACCGTGACAGGGTTTGTATTTCTAGGTGCAAAGATTGCTGCAGATGCAGACTGTGGCCAGGAAATCAGGAGACGCTTACTTCTTGGGAGGAGAGCAATGTCCAGTCTCAATAAAAGAGTAAAGAGCAGAGACATCAGACTGGCAACAAAGATCCATTGCATAGTCCAAGCCATGGTCTTCCCTACGGATGTGAGAGCTGGACCTTCGGGAAGGCTGAGCGGAGGAAGATTGATGCTTTTGAGCTGTGGTGTTGGAGGAAAGTGCTGAGAGTGCCTTGGACTGCGAGAAGATCCAACCAGTCCATCCTCCAGGAAAGAAAGCCCGACTAAAGCTCATTGGAGGGAAGGAGACTAGAGACAAAGTGGAAGTCCTTTGGCCACATCATGAGGAGACAGCAAAGCCTGGAGAAGAGAATGATGCTGGGGAAAGTGGAAGGCAAAAGGAAGAGGGGCCGACCAAGGGCAAGATGGATGGACGGCATCCTGGAAGGGACTGGACTGACCTTGAAGGAGCTGGGGGTGGTGACGGCCAACAGGGAGCTCTGGCGTGGGCTGGTCCGTGAGGTCACGAAGAGTCGGAGACGACTGAACGAATGAACAACTGCAATACCAGAACACAGGTAAAGGTTGTCCCCTGACATTAAGTCCAGTCATGTCTGACTCTGAGGTGTGGTGCTCATCTCCATTTCTAAGCCGAAGAGCCAGCGTTGTCCATAGACACCTCCAAGGTCATGTGGCCGGCATGACTGCATGGAGCGCTGTTACCTTCCCGCTGGAGCGGTACCTATTGATCTACTCACATTTGCATGTTTTCAAACTGCTAGGTTGGCAGAAGCTAGGGCTGACAGCGGAAGCTCACGCCACTCCCCGGAATCGAACCTGCAACCTTTCGATCAACAAGCTCAGCAGCTCAGTGCTTTAACCCACTGCACCAAAAGCAAAGAAATGTACTAAATCATAGAATCATAGAATCAAAGAGTTGGAAGAGACCTCCTGGGCCATCATCCAGTCCAACCCCATTCTGCCAAGAAGCAGGAATATATGCATTCAAATCACCCCTGACAGATGGCCATCTAGCCCCTGTTTAAAAGCTTCCAAAGAGCCTCCACCACACTCCGGGGCAGAGAGTTCCACTGCTGAACGGCTCTCACATTGTCATGACCCAGACAATATAAAATACACTTGAAATGAAAGGCAGGCGGGAGCGGGTACCGGCTCCAAGCCTGCTTTTCGGATTGATTCTTGCAGGGCCTGCAGCCAAGCATGAGTAAGGAGCGTTCCTTCCTCGACGCTTGATTGCAGGCCCTGCCAGGCCCAGGCATGTAGGCCCAAACCCTGCACCTTTAGTCCCGGGCACTTTGGGCCTATGGGTGCAGGCTTTGCTCCTACGCACCCAGGCTTTGCAGGGCTTGCAGCCAAGCACCGAGGAAGTAGCACTCCTTACTCTGTGCTCAGCTCAGCTGCAGGCCCTGTGACAATCAATCCAAAAAGCAGGCTTGGAGCCGGTACCCGCTCCCATCTGCCTTTTGTTTTGAGTGTATTTTCATTTCAGGAAGGGCCTTCCCTGTGGGTGCAAGCTTTGGGCCTATGCACCCAGGCCTCAAAGGGCCTACAGCTGAGTGCCGAGTAAGGAGCGCTCTTTACTCGGTGCTCAGCTGCAGGCCCTGCGACAATCCGAAAAGCAGGTTTGAAGCCAGTACCTGATGTCACGTTGCCAGGGCTGCCTTATTTAGGTAGAGATGAATCAAACTCCCAGTTTTATCAAACAGTTTAATTAAAACAGCACTTACTTGCTGGCTGTTTTAATAGACCAAAACATAAAGATAGCAAAAACAACTCCTTAGTCAAAAGGGTCCAGTCCAGTGGTCAAATGCCAAGAGTTCAATAAACAAAGTCCAGGGATCAAGAGTCTATACTGTAGTCAAAAGCCAGTCCAAAGGTTCCAGGGTTCCAAGATTACAGGACACAGGTCAGGATACAGAAAAATCCAACAGACCTGGGGGGAAAACCAGCAGCATCCACCACCAACAGTTTGAGGATACCTGGCCAGGAGGGAGGGGGTAGATCGAATGGAGCTGGGGAAGGGGTTCCATAGCTGTCACGTTGCCAGGGCTCTGCCTTATTTAGGTAGAGATGAATCAAACTCCCAGTTTTATCAAACAGTTTAATTAAAACAGCACTTACTTGCTGGCTGTATTTATAGTCCAAAATATAAAACACAAAGATAGCACGGAGCTACAGAATAAACAAAAACTGATAGCAAAAACAACTTCGGAGTCAAAAGGGCTCCAGTCCAATTGTCAAATGCTGAGAGTTCAATAAACAAAGTCCAGGGATCAAGAGACTATACCGTAGTCAAAAGCCAGTCCAAAGGTTCAAGATTCCAGAGTTCAAAGATTACAGGAGACAGGTCAGGATACCGAAAATCCAACAGACCTGGGGGGGAAACCACCAAAATATGACAATACTTTTCTCCCTAAGATCAGTGCCAAGGCTCGCTCCTTATATCCAGAAACACCCAGCTGCAACCCATCTCTTGCATACCTCCACCCTTAAGTGCTTTCACCCACGAACTCTTACTTACAGATTACTAAACCCTTTACATTAGCCCTTCCATCTGTCCTTGCACTGTGCTACTCTGCTGCTGAGTACGCATGCCCAGTGTGGAACACATCTCACCACACTCAAACAGTGGATGTGGCTCTTAATGAGACATGCCGCATTATCACGGGGTGTCTGCGCCCTACACCACTGGAGAAATTACACTGCTTAGCCGGTATTGCACCACCTGACATCCGCCGGGAAGGAGCAGCCAATAGTGAAAGGACCAAGGCAGAGACATCTCCAGCTCATCCCCTGTTTGGGTATCAGCCAGCACGTCAACGACTTAAATCAAGACATAGTTTTCTAGATCTACAGAGACACTCGCTGGAACACCTCAGCAAGCGAGAGTCCAAAAGTGGCAGGCTCAAACCCAGAACCTCAACCAATGGCTGATACCAAATGAGAGACTCCCCCCTGGGCACACAGAGACTGGGCGACTTGGAAGGCGCTGAACAGACTGCGCTCTGGCACCACGAGATGCAGAGCCAACCTCAAGAAATGGGGCCACAAAGTGGAATCCACAACATGCGAGTGACACCCGATCCCATCTGCCTTTCGTTTTGAGTGTATTTTCATTTCAGGAAGGGCGTTCCCTATGGGTGCAGGCTTTGGGCTTACACACCCAGGCCAACTGAGCGCAAAGTAAAGAGAGCTCTTTACTCGGTGCTCGGCTGTAGGCCCTACAACAATCCAAAAAGCAGGCTTGAAGCCGGTACCCGCTCCCACCTGTCTTTCGTTTCAAATGTATTTTCGTTTCAGGAGGGGTCTTCCTGTTTCATGCTGTCCAAATGGACGGAACTAAACAGAAACACGAATCAAACGGATGGAACAAATCCCGGGCTCATGACTAATAACTATCCAACCATGTGTTGCTCTTTTTTTAGGCATGTCTAAGATGCTATTGCCTGGGATCTTTTTTCACACTCACTCTTTTATAGCCTGATTCAAGAACTGGGGGAATTCACGGTGTTTAGTAATATTTTTCTTATATTTTCAGGGTATCCAAAAGGAACTGGAGCTAACCAAAACGAAAACAGCGAGGTATGCCTAGAGGTATTATGTTGAGTTTTGAACCCTGTCGTTAAGTGGCAGGAAAAAGCCAGTAAACCAATGGTAATGGTTCTACTTTAACATTTCTGATGTGATTTGAAATACGATTCAAGAACCCATGGCTTGAAAATGTCCCCCCATAGAAAACTGTAAAGTTTGATTTTGAGATAGATAGATAGATAGATAGATAGATAGATAGATAGATAGATAGATAGATAGATAGATAGATAAGGTCATCATTGAACTACACCAAGCATGGGCAAACTTTTTAACTTGGGAGGTGTGTAGGGGGGGGGGGGGGGGGGGGGGGGGGGGTTCTCCCCAAGCCCCCTCCCTGCCCTTTTCTCCCCTTCCTCTTCTCTTTTGGAGGCAGAAAGTGAAGGAGGAAAGGAGGAAGGAAAAAAGAGAAGGAAGGAAGGGGGGAAGGAAGGAAGGAGGAAGAGAAAGGAAGGAGAGAGAGAAGGAAGGAAAGAAAGGAAGGAAGGGAAAGAGAGGAGAAAAGAAGGAGGGAAGGAAAAATGAAAGGGTGGAGGGGAAGGGAGGGAGGGAGGGAGGAAAGAGAGAAGGAAGTAAAGACAGGAGGAAGGAGAAAGAGAGGGAGGTAGGGAAAAAGAGGGAAGTAAGGAAGAATGAAAGGGTGGAAGAGAGGGAGGGAAGGAGGAAGGAAAAGGCGCAAGGGTGGAAGGGGAGGGAGGGAGGAAAGAGGGAAGAAAGGAGAAAGAGGGAGGGAGAAAAGAGGGAAGGAAGGAAGAATGAAAGGGTGGAAGGGAAGGGAGGGAGGGAAGGAGGAAGGGTGGAAAGGAAGGGCGGGAGGAAAGAGAAGGAAAGGACGACAGTGTTGTACGGACAGAGTGATGGCGTAAAGGAGATAAAAGAAGGAAAGACCAAATGGAAGGGAATGAACATAGGATACAGAGTGATTAAATGCATACAAAGGGAGAAAGAAGGAGAAGGAAGGAGGGGGAGGGAGGAAGAGAAGGAAAGAAGGCAGGCAGGCAGGAAGGAAGGAAGGAAGGAAGGAAGGAAGGAAGGAAGGAAAGATAGGATGGTGAGAGAGAAGAGGGCCCAAGAAAAGAGCCCAAGGGGTCGTATCTGGTCCCCCAAACCTGAACTACACCATTGTATATAATGAGAATTTGCATCTAGAACAGGAAGCCCAAGTGTTGCCAAGGGCTCATTGTCACAACCACCTTCCAATATTGTGAATCCTTTTCCTTGTCTTTAACTGTACGCTTCTTTTAATTGTAAAATACTTTGAGTCCCAGTTTTGGGAGAAAGGCGGGATACGATGACTACTACTATTAGTAGGACTAGTAACAAGAACTATAATTCAAATGGCCAATAACAATTGAAAACCTGTCTTTTTGCCCCCTTTTTCTGCATCAGTGACATGGATGAACAAAACCAGCATTTCTTGTCCAAGATTAAACTCCTGGAGCTTGAGTTGGCTCATGTGAAATCAGAGCTGCTAAACTCACAGGGTGTGAAAGCGAGCTGCGCCTCGGTGGATATGCTTCAGGAAAAGGTAATAATAATAATAATTTATTTATTTATTTATTTATTTTTATTTATTTATTTGTTGTGTCAGAGCAACCAGTACATTATATTACATTTCTAACAGAACAAAGCAAACAAACAGACAAAATACAAATTTGTGAGTTTGGTAGTTGATTAAATGTCCTTTGACCAGTATCTGGCGCCCCTTGGAGTGCCTCTGGTGTTGCCGCAAGGAGGTCCTCCCTTGTGCATGTGGCAGGGCTCAGGTTGCATTGCAGCAGGTGGTCAGTGGTTTGCTCTTCTCCACACTCGCATGTCATGGATTCCACTTTGTAGCCCCATTTCTTGAGGTTGGCTCTGCATCTCGTGGTGCCAGAGCGCAGTCTGTTCAGCCTTCCAAGTCGCCCAGTCTTCTGTGTGCCCAGAGGGGAGTCTCTCATTGGGTATCAGCCATTGGTTGAGGTTCTGGGTTTGAGCCTGCCACTTTTGGACTCTCGCTTGCTGAGGTGTTCCAGCGAGTGTCTCTGTAGCTCTTAGAAAACTATGTCTGGATTTAAGTTGTTGACGTGCTGGCTGATACCCAAACAGGGGATGAGCTGGAGATGTCTCTGCCTTGGTCCTTTCACTATTGGCTGCTACTTCCCGGCGGATGTCAGGTGGTGCAATACCGGCTAAACAGTGTAATTTCTCCAGTGGTGTAGGGCGCAGACACCCCGTGATAATGCGGCATGTCTCATTAAGAGCCACATCCACTGTTTTAGTGTGGTGAGATGTGTTCCACACTGGGCATGCATACTCAGCAGCAGAGTAGCACAGCGCAAGGGCAGATGTCTTCACTGTGTCTGGTTGTGATCCCCAGGTTGTGCCAGTCAGCTTTCGTAAGATATTGTTTCTAGCGCCCACTTTTTGCTTGATGTTCAGGCAGTGCTTCTTGTAGGTCAGAGCACGGTCCAGAGTGACTCCCAGGTATTGGGTGCGCTGCAATGCTCCAGTGGGATTCCTTCCCAGGTGATCTTCAGAGCTCGGGATGCTTGTCTGTTCTTGAGATGAAAAGCACATGTCTGTGTTTTAGATGGGTTGGGGATCAGCTGGTTTCCCCTGTAATAGGCAGTAAGAGCACCTAGAGCTTCGGAGAGCTTCTGTTCAACCATCTCAAAGCTCCCTGCTTGAGCGGTAATGGCACCAGAACGGTTTTAAATGGTGTATTTTAATACTGAGATAAATATTATTATTGTTTATGTATGCGTATATGAATTCTTGTCCCGGCATTGAATGTTTGCCGGATACATACGCTGTGATCCGTCCTGAGTCCCCTTTGGGGTGAGAAGGGCGGAATATAAATGTTTTAAATAAATAATAAATAAATAAATTTTGATTCTTTGATTTTTGGCACGGACCATGCCCATGCATCAAATAACTTATCGTAAGTATGAAAATAACAAATTAGTTTTTATTTATGATGAGATACGATTAATTTTCACAATCCTAGTTGCTACATTATCTAGAATTTGTAATATGAATGTTTTGGGTGGCTAACAAACAGAACTTTCTCCAAGGTAAACAATGGGCCTGTAGCCATACGCGTCCTGTAGCCGTACGCCATGTTTATGGATACAGTCATAAATGCAGACTTCTGTTTTGGAAGGGATGTAAGATTGGTATTATAACCTCTTGAATCCTCTGTTTGTAGGTAGACGCTCAGGTTAAGGAATCCGTCAAATTCATTCTGTTTGGTCGCCAACAAGGAGATTTGCCAGAATCGCTGCTTCAGTGGCTGACGTCCAAATTTGTGAGCAAGAGTGACTTGCGGGTTTTGTTGCAAGATTTGGAGTCCCAGATCCTCAGGAACATCACTCTGCACATGTCTGTCGCAAACACCAAGTCAACGTCGGAGGTGGTCACCAGTGTGGTGAACGAAGCTGGGATTGCAGGCATCACAGAAGCGGTGAGCAACGTTGGGGAAAAAAAGCTCTTTTAGGGCTTCCCATTTGCAATCAGATTCTCTTGAAATAACTTGCAATAATGGTTTTTGGGGGTGGGCAGAGATAAACAGTTACTATATTACTATATTGTACTATATCATTATATTGTGATATTATTAGTAATATTACATGCGATAGAAAATATATAATTATAACATTTTATTATTATTATATTGTAGTACATTATAATATTATAATTATTATATGTATATAATATAATAATAATAATATAATAATACAATATAATAATTATAATAATAATATAATATAAGATGGATGGATTTATTTATTTGTCGTGTCAGAACAACCAGTCCATTTTATTACATTTCTCACAGAACAAAGCAAACAAACAGATAAAAAAACACAAAGTTTGTAAACTTGGTAGTTGATCAAATGTCCTTTGACCAGTATCTGGCCACTTGGAGTGCTTCTGGTGTTGCCGCAAGGAGGTCCTCCATTGTGCATGTGGCAGGGCTCAGGTTGCATTGCAACAGGTGGTCAGTGGTTTGCTCTTCTTCACACTCACATCTCGAGGATTCCACTTTGTGGCCCCATTTCTCAAAGTTGGCTCTGCATCTCGTGGTGCCAGAGCGCAGTCTGTTCAGCTCCTTCCAAGTCACCCAGTCCTCTGTGTGCCCAGGGGGGAGTCTCTCATTTGGTATCAGCCATGGGTTGAGGTGCTGGGTTTGAGCCTGCCACTTTTGGACTCTCGCTTGCTGAGGTGTTCCAGCGAGTGTCTCTGTAGATCTTAGAAAACTATGTCTAGATTTAAGTCATTGGCGTGCTGGCTGATACCCAAACAGGGGATGAGCTGGAGATGTCTCTGCCTTGGTCCTTTCACTATTGGCTGCTACTTCCCGGCGGACGTCAGGTGGTGCAATACCGGCTAAGCAGTGTAGTTTCTCCAGTGGTGTAGGGCGCAGACACCCCGTGATAATGCGGCATGTCTCATTAAGTGCCACATCCACTGTTTTAGTGTGGTGAGATGTGTTCCACACTGGGCATGCGAACTCAGCAGCAGAGTAGCACAGGATGGCATCCTTGAAGTGACTGGACTGACCTTGAAGGAGCTGGGGGTAGTGACAGCCGACAGGGAGCTCTGGCGTGGGCTGGTCCATGAGGTCACGAAGAGTCGGAGACAACTGAACGAATGAACAACAGCATATGTATATACAATATATTATATTATTAGCATAGTACAATATCAGGATTACATATTACTATATTGTACTATACCATTATAGTACAATAATGGAATTTAATCTCTAGGCATCGATCTTTAAAACACTACAGCCTGTGACTTGCCAAGAAAATTCAGATTGCTGTACACTGGAAGTACTGACTTTAAGATCCTGATAGCATTTGCAAATAGGAGAATAATAATAATAATAATAATAATAATAATAATAATAATAATAATACTTTATTTGTACCCCGCTACCATCTGCCCAAGGGACTCGGTGCGGCTTTCATGAGGCCAATCCCAACACAATACAAGCAATAATCACAACAATACAAGCAATTAAAATAAAACATAGACGATAAACATATAACATCTACGCCAGAAACGCCAATAAGACATCATACAAATTAAAACTGTAGGAAGGCCAAATGTAAAAATTAAAATTGGAAATAGTGCTGAGGCATGGACGAAAAGGGGAATAGTGGTGTTTGTGGAAAGACATACGAGCAGACCTAAAAATATAAAGTGCTTTGGAGGGACAAAGTGCTATGGCAGTGGTTCTCTACCTTCCTAATGCCACGACCCCTTAATACAGTCCCTCATGTGGTGGTGACCCCCAACCATAACATTGTTTTTGTTGCTACTTCATAACAGTCATTTTACTACTGTTATAAATCATAACCTAGCAGTTCGAAAACATGCAAATGTGAGTAGATCAATAGGTACCGCTCCGGCGGGAAGGTAACGGCGCTCCATGCAGTCATGCCGGCCACATGACCTTGGAGGTGTCTACGGACAACGCCGGCTCTTCGGCTTAGAAATGGAGATGAGCACCACACCCCAGAGTCAGACATGACTGGACTCAGTGTCAGGGGACTACCTTTACCTTTACCTTATAAATCATAATGTAAATATTAGATATGCAAGATGTATTTTCATTCACTGGACCCAACAAATACCCAATGCACCCACATGTAAATGTTAGTGGGGTTGGGGGAGGATTGATTTTGTAATTTGGGAGTTGTAGTTGCTGGGATTTATAGTTCACCTATAATCAAAGAGCATTCTGAACTCCACCAGCGATGGATTTGAACCTAATTTGCCACACAGAACTCCCATGGCCAACAGAAAACACTGGAAGGGTTTGGTGGGTATTGACCTTGAGTTTGGGAGTTGTAGTTCACCTATATCCAGAGAGCACTGTGGACTCATGCAATGATGGATCTGGACTAAATTTGGCACAAATACTCAATATGCGCAAATGTGAACACTGGTGGAGCCTGGGGAAAATAGACCTTGACTTTTGGGAGTTGTAGTTGCTGGGATTTATAGTTCATTACAATCAAAGAAGATTCTGAACTCCAGCAATGAGAGAATTGGCTCAAACTTCCCACATGGAATCCCCATGACCATCAGAAAATACTGTGTTTTCTGATGGTCTTTGGCGACCCCTCTGACACCCCTTCACGACCCCCTCAGGGGTCCTGACCCCCAGGTTGAGAAACACTGTGCTATGGGATCATTATTCCGGGAAGGCACACTGGAACAACCACATCTTTAAGTTCCTCCCAAAGACTGCCAGGGTTAGGGCATGCCTGATGTCCTTAGGGAGTGAGTTCCAGAGTTGAGGGGACACCACCGAAAAGGCTCTCTCTCTCGTTCCCACCAATCGCGCCTGCGAGGCTGGTGGGATCGAGAGCAGGGCCTCTCCAGATGAATGAGGAGATCGTGTGGGTTCATACACAGAGATGTGTATACAATATAAGCTTTGCTGAAAAGATGCTTCCTTGATGACATGCAATGTCATGGATCCATTCACGTGCAAAAGCCCAGGACTAAAGTCTCCCCGCGCTTTCTCTCGTCCCTCCCTTCTGTGTTTGCAGCAAGCGCGCCTGATTGTCAACAATGCGCTGAAGCTGTTCTCTCAAGACAAGACTGGCATGGTGGACTTTGCTTTGGAATCTGGGGGTAAGTATTGAGGTGGGAGGAGGAGGTGTTTAGCCTGTCCTACATTGGGAAATAGGAGTAAATGCACTCACATTTCTAACTGGAGCTAATTATAAGGAGTGCACGACACCCCTATTGAAACAGCTCCACTGGGTCCCAATAAGTTGACGGGCGCAATTTATTTTTATTTGTCATGTCATGGCAACCAGACAGTTGTATTACATTTTTAACAAAACAAACAAACAAACAGACAAAATACAAAATTTGTGAGTTTGCTAGTTGATTAAATGTCCTTTGACCAGTTTCTGGCCCCTTGGAGTGCCTCTGGTGTTGCCGCAAGGAGGTCCTCCCTTGTGCATGTGGCAGGGCTCAGGGTGCATTGCAGCAGGTGGTCAGTGGTTTGCTCCTCTCCGCACTCACATGTCGTGGATTCCACTTTGTGGCCCCATTTCTTGAGGTTGACTCTGCATCTCGTGGTGCCAGAGCGCAGTCTGTTCAGCGCCTTCCAAGTCGCCCCGTCTTCTGTGTGCCCAGGGGGGAGTCTCTCATTTGGTATCAGCCATTGGTTGAGGTGCTGGGTTTGAGCCTGCCACTTTTGGACTCTCGCTTGCTGAGGTGTTCCAGCGAGTGCCTCTGTAGATCTTAGAAAACTATGTCTTGATTTAAGTCGTTGGCGTGCTGGCTGATACCCAAACAAGGGAAGAGCTGGAGATGTCTCCGCCTTGGTCCTTTCACTATTGGCTGCTACTTAACGGCGGATGTCAGGTGGTGCAATACCGGCTAAGCAGTGTAATTTCTCCAGTGGTGTAGGGCGCAGACACCCCGTGATAATGCGGCATGTCTCATTAAGAGCCACGTCCACTGTTTTAGCGTGGTGAGATGTGTTCCACACTGGGCATGCATACTCAGCAGCAGAGTAGCATAGCGCAAGGACAGATGTCTTCACTGTGTCTGGTTGTGATCCCCAGGTTGTGCCAGTCAGCTTTCGTATGGTATTGTTTCTAGCACCCACTTTTTGCTTGATGTTCAGGCAGTGCTTCTTGTAGGTAAGAGCACGGTCCAGAGTGACTCCTCCCAGGTATTTGGGTGCGCTGCAATGCTCCAGTGGATTCCTTCCTTCCCAGGTAATAATCCTCAGAGCTCGGGATGCTTGGCTGTTCTTGAGATGAAAGGCACATGTCTGTGTTTTAGATGGATTAGGGATCAGCTGGTAATAGGCAGTAAGGGCACCTAGAGCTCCGGCGAGCTTCTGTTCAACCATCTCAAAGCTCCCTGCTTGAGCAGTAATGGCACGATCATCAACATAGATAAAACTCTCTGTCCCTTCTGGCTGGTCAACTGGAGTGCACAATACCCTTATTAAAACAGCTCCACTGGGTGCTGATAAGTTGGCAGGCCCAATTCAAAGTGCAGGTTATGACCGGGTTGTGGTGCAGCTAGTTAGTAGCCAGCTGCATTAAATCACTATTGACCAAGAGGTCCTGAGTTCGAAGCCAGCCCAGGTCGGAGTGAGCTCCTGCCCATTACTAGTCTAGCTTGCTGTTGACCTATGCAGCCCGAAAGACAGTTGCATCTGTCAAGTAGGAAATCTAGGTACCGCTTTATGCGGGGAGGCTAATTTAACTAATTTACGATGCCATAAATAAATAAATGACCATGGAGATAGGCCCCGCCTATCTCCATGATCATATCTCCCCCGGCGCAGGCTCTAAGATCCACCGGGGAGGCCCTTCTCTCGCTCCCACCACCGCCCCAAGCACGGTTGGCACGGATAAGAGAGAGGGCCTTCTCGGTGGTTGCCTCCCCACCTCTGGAACACCCTCCCCAGAGAGATAAGACAGGCCCCATCACTATTCTCCTTCTGCAGGGACCTGAAGACTTGGTGGTTCCAGGAGGCCTTTGAACATGATTAGGCCAGGCCTTATCCTGGCCATCAGTTAGGACCCTGCCCTGCACTTTACCCACGACCCCATTCCTCTGCCACCTCGTGGTACTAGCCCTGGCCCAGACCTTTTATAGTTGCTCAGCAGGCCCTGGAAATGAGTAGCCCCAGGCCTCACTCTGGCCTTCAATTAGGACTTATCTTTGCACTTTGCAACCCCCCCCCCCCCCCCCCCCCCCCCCCCCCCCCCCCCCAGCCCAGCCCTTTCATTACTTTCTAGACCCACTTTGAAATTTGGGCCATTGGTAGTTTAGTTTTGCATAAGGAATAGTTCCAAAACTGGCTTTTAAATGTATATGTTTGTGTTAATATGTGGAAATGGCCCTGAGTGCCCTAGGGGAGATAGATTGGTATACAAATAAAGTTGTTATTATTATTATTATTATTATTATTATTATTATTATTATTATATCTAATTTTGCTAGCAGACATTCCCATTTTCAGAAGATGGGCGAGTGGCTGTCAGAAAATTTATTTATTTATCGTGTCAGGAGCAAACCAAACAGTTGTATTGCATTTTTTAACAAACAAGAAACAAACAAAGCAAAAGTTTGCAAGCTTGGTAGTTCATTAAATGTCCTTTGACCAGTATCTGGCCACTTGGAGTGCCTCTGGTGTTGGCACAAGGAGGTCCTCCATTGTGCATGTGGCAGGGCTCAGGTTGCATTGCAGCAGTGGTCAGTGGTTTGCTCTTCTCCACACTCGCATGTCGTGGATTCCACTTTGTGGCCCCATTTCTTGAGGTTGGCTCTGCATCTCGTGGTGCCACAGCGCAGTCTGTTCAGCGCCTTCCAAGTCGCCCAGTCTTCTGTGTGCCCAGGGGGGAGTCTCTCATTTGGTATCAGCCATTGATTGAGGTTCTGGGTTTGAGCCTGCCACTTTTGGACTCTCGCTTGCTGAGGTGTTCCAGCGAGTGTCTCTGTAGATCTTAGATTTCTAGATTTAAGTCGTTGGCGTGCTGGGTGATACCCAAACAGGGGATGAGCTGGAGATGTCTCTGCTTTGGTCCTTTCACTATTGGCTGCTACATCCCATCAGAAGTTGCAGAAAATGAATCCCACAGTCTGAATTTGTCCAAATATGTTAAAACGAAAGGAGGGAGGGAGGGAGGGAGGGAGGGAGGGAGGGAAGGAAGGAAGGAAGGAAGGAAGGAAGGAAGGAAGGAAGGAAGGAAGGAGAAAGAAGTTGGAAAGAGAGGAAGGAAGGATGAAAGGAGGGAAGGAAGGAGAAAGAAGTTGGAGAGGAAGGAAGGACAAAAGGAAGGAAGGAAGGAGAGAAGGGAAGAGGGAAGGAAGGAAGGAAGGAAGGAAGGAAGGAAGGAAGGAAGGAAGGAAGGAAGAAGAAGGAAGGAGGGAAAGGAAGGAGGGAAAGGATGGAAGGAAGGAAAGGGGAGAGGAAGGAAGGACAAAAGGAGGGAGGGAGGGAGGGAGGGAGGGAAGGAAGGAAGGAAGGAAGGAGAAAGAAGTTGGAAAGAGAGGAAGGAAGGAAGGACGAAAGGAGGGAGGGAGGGAGGGAAGGAAGGAAGGAAGGAAGGAAGGAAGGAAGGAAGGAAGGAAGGAAGGAAGGAAGGAAGGAAGGAGAAGAAGTTGGAAAGAGGAAGGAAGGATGAAAGGAGGGAAGGAAGGAGAAAGAAGTTGGAAAGAGAGGAAAGAAGGGAGGGAAGGAAGGAGAAAGAAGTTGGAAAGAGAGGAAGGAAAGACAAAAGGAAGGAAGGAAGGAGAAAGAAGTTGGAAAGAGAGGAAAGAAGGACGAAGGAGGGAAGGAAGGAGAAAGAAGTTGAAAAGAGGAAAGAAGGACGAAAAGCAGGCAGGCAGGCAGGCAGGCAGGCAGGCAGGCAGGCAGGCAGGAAGGAAGGAAGGAAGGAAGGAAGGAAGGATGAAAGGGTGGAAGGGAAGGAAGGAAGGGCTACTTGGAGGTACAGCAGGTTTTGGATCAGACATGAATAGAGTTGACGTGTAAGAAGGTTGGATAATAGACAAGGGATTTGGGTTTGAGGGAAATGTATTGTCGAAGGCTTTCATGGCCAGAATCACTGGGTTTTTGTAGGTTTTTCGGACTATATGGCCATGTTCTAGAAGCATTCTCTTCTGACGTTTTGTCTGCATTCATGGCAGGCATCCAGAAATGCAGAATGAGAAATGTGTCGTAGCGGGCACTGGATGCAGTGCTTCTTATGCTCTCTGATGTGAGTTGTGGCAAACCAGAATTTTTGACCTTAGCGTGGCAAGAACTGGTACCATTTTTGTGCCACACGATTATTGTACATTGGAAATATGCCGTCAAATGATAGCTCGGGATGCCCCAGTCTGCAAACCACCATGTTGAGCAGCATTGTCACTGGGAATTAGCATCTAGTTCAGCCAATTGGCTGTTAGGAATTGTGGAAGTTGAAGTCCAAAATACCTGGAGGGAGGACCGAAGCTGGCCCGTGGCTGATCTGGTTGTATTGAAAATAAAATGTATATTACCCTCTAATAAATAAAAGTGAATGTTCTGTTTGTGTATTCCTTTGAGGTGGCAGCGTTTTGAGCACCCGCTGTTCAGAGACCTACGAAACCAAAACAGCGCTGATCAGCCTCTTTGGCATTCCTCTGTGGTACTTCTCACAGTCTCCCCGGGTCGTGATCCAGGTAATTAATTGAAACGCGGGACATTTTATAGAACGCTTGCAGGGATTTAAACATGTTTGTTAAAGTTGCTTCTGTATCAATTTGGGATAAGAACATCCTTGGTCAAGTTCAGTTGGCGACCATGCGAACTTTGAGATTCCCATCATCAGAACTATGGGGAATATCTATGGGGAACTATGGAGCAAGGATTTCCTCAAATGCTTCCGTGAATGTGTGCTGTGTGGTATTACATGTCCCTGAGAACATTTCCAGCAATGTTTATGGTCTCAGATAACTTTAATGCAAATCAGCTTTCTGAAGTGGGGGGAATGGATATAGAGCCATGCATTCCTGTAGCTCAGACATGGGCAAACTTTGGTCCTCCTGGTGTTTTGGACTCCAACTCCCACCATTCTCTAGTCCCCAAGTTACAAATGTTTGCCTTGGCATACAGCTCATAGTGAAGAATGAGGATGAAACACCAGGAAGTGAGAAAAATCCATCTCTCGAAAGGGAAATTTACTCCTGGAAGAATTATTATCATGGGGAAAAGGGCCTCCACTGAAGCTTTATCATCAAACCTTGTTTCCACAACAAGCTGTATGTATGTATGTATATATCTATATATATAAATTTCCTACTGGCGTCCAACGGGGAAGAAAACTCTAAAACCCCTCCACACAACTCTACCAAAATTGCCATGCCCCAAGGACAACCCACTAGGTACAAACTAATCCACTCAGAAATCAAAACCACACAACAACAACCACAAAAAACGGCAAAACAACTGAGCATGCGCACTGGCGCAAACTCCCCGGCACGCGCGCACGCATGGCCCCTCACCCCCCCGCGTGGCACACACACGCGCGTACGTGCGCCCCTTCACACCCCCGGCGCGGCACACCACACGCACGCCCGCGCGCCCCCTCACCCCCCATAGATACACATCGCGCGCGCGCCCTCACCCCCTTGGCGCGGCACCCCTTCTAAACCCATCCCTCCTCCCTCTTACCCTTCTCATGTTACCTCCAAGCCACGCCCCCTTCTAATCTGTCAAGGAAGAAAGGAGAGAAAGAGAGAGGGAAAGAAAGAAGGAAGGAAGGAATGAGGTAGAAAAGGAAGAAAGGAGAGAAAGAGGGAGGGAAAGAAAAAGGGGGAGGAAGGAAAGTTAGAGAAGGAAGGAGAGAAGGAAAGAAAAAAGGGAAAGAAGGAAGGAAAGAAGGAGCGAAGGAAGGGGGGGAAGATGTAGAGAAAGAGGGAGGGAAGGAAAAAGAGAAGGAAGAAAAGAGAGACTGCAGAAGAGAAAAAAGGAAGAAGGAAGGAAAGAGGGAGCGAAGGAAGGGGATAAGATGTAGAGAAAGAGGGAGGGAAAGAAAGGAGGAAAGAGAGAAGGAAGAAAACAGAGACAGCAGAAGAGAAAGAAAAAGGGGGAAGGAAGGAAAGCAATAGAGAAGGAAGGAAGGAGAGAAGGAAAGACGGGAAGGAAGGAAGGAAAGAAACAGGGAGTGAAGGAAGGAGGGAAAGAAGGGGAGATAGGGGAAAGGTTGGCCACAGCAACGCGTGGCGGGTACAGCTAGTATTGTGTATGTGTGTGTGTGTGTGTGTGTATGTATGTGTATATATATATATATATATATATATATATATACACACACACACACACACACACACACACACACACACACACATACACACACACACACACACACACATATATATAGCCGTCTCTCCCTTGCCAGGCGTTGCTGTGGCCCAGTCTGGTGATCTGGAAAATAAAGTAATGAGAAAGTGTTGGTTTCCAATATATCAAATTTCTTTCTGCTTGTGGGTAAACAGTATTTCTTGCTGTTTCTTTGTCAGTGTTGATGTGGAGAGTGTCTGGTTTGCCTACTCTGGAATATGTAACATATCATTGTCCTTCTTTAAGGGTCCCTTTCACATCTATGATACTATATCTGTTTGTGTGTGTGTGAATCACATATATCGATCTCTATCTATGGCTGGATGGCTCTTTGTCAGGAAGGCTTTGATTATGTTTTCTTGCCCTGCTGAAGGGAGTTGGACTGGATGGCCTTAGGTATTTTCTGTTGGTCATAGGGATTCTGTGTGGGAAGTTTGCCCCAGTTCTGTCATTTGTGGGATTCAGAATGCTCTTTGATTGTAAGTGAATTATAGATCACAGTAACTCCAACTCCCAAATGTCAAGGTCTATTTCCCCCAAACTCCATATTTAGGCATATTGAGCATTTGTGCCAAGTTTGGCCCAGATCCATCATTGTTTGAGCCCACAGTGCTCTCTGGATGTAGGTGAACTACAACTCCCAAACTCAAGGTCAATGCCCACCAAACCCTTCTAGTAGTGAGGGAATCTAGTAGCCTATCCATGCTCTCCAAGGCATGCATAGATCTCCATGCTATCCAAAGCTCATAGATAGGTAGGTGAATGGATGGATGGTTGTGATAGCATGGAGATGTGTGAGCTTTAGGGAATGGTTAACAGCCCTGTAGTATTTCTTTTTCTGTCTGCGGCCCTGTTCAGAATTATTTATATGGCTGGAGTTACATTTTTAAAATGTTGCTGTTCTGACTTACATACAAATTCAACTTAAGAACAAACCTACAGAACCTCACTTGTTTGTAACTTGGGGAACTGTGTCTGTGTGTGTGTCACAACCAATCTTGCTTACTGACTGGCTCCTTCCCCATTTGTCTTTCTCCCTCGTAGCCTGACATGTATCCCGGGAACTGCTGGGCCTTCAAAGGATCCCAGGGATACCTGGTTGTGCGCCTCTCGATGGTGATCCACCCAACCGCTTTCACCCTGGAACATATACCAAAAACACTTTCGCCGACGGGCAATATTACGAGCGCGCCGAAGGATTTCTCCGTCTATGTAAGTTTCCCGTGGTCAAAGTAAAAGCAAAGTAGGCCCGTGTGGGCACGAGGGCAATTCTTTCAGGATTTCGAGTGGCGACTGAAAGGCTTCTAATCTTGCAGCGTATTACATAACTTGCCCCAAGTCAATAATATAATATATTTGAGATCACCTTTTTAAAAGCCCAAATTAGTGAGTCCATGCATCCAAACAATCAAAGCAAAAGACCCTCAAACAAAACATAAAACACCAAGGAGAGCTAAATGTGTACGTTTATTTATTTCGTATTTGTCTAGAACTGGAAAGTCAAGATGTAATGGTCGTTGATTGAAAGCTATTCTTGTACACAGTATTTCAGCTATTCTTAGTATTGCATCACAGTTGTCCTGAGGCTTGATTCTGGTCTTTGTGAAGTCCTACCATTAAATGGGTACTTCCTTTCTCTCTCTCTCTTTCTCTGAGCCTCTTTGGCAGTTGTATAACTTCTATTTTTTGTACATCTTTTTATTTATTTTACACAAGGCAAAGCTAGTTTGAAATTTAAAATAAATCTTACATATATGTCTTTGGCAAGAAGTCTAAGGCACTTTAAGATTTCTGATTCCTTGTGGAGAGAAAGTGTTGCACTCTGAGCGGAATTCACTTTTGCATCCATCATCATACAAGAGTCCAGTAGTGCTAAGTAAACCAGACTCAGATGATGGAGGTCACAGAGACTTCCTTGAAACAGACCAGATGTCAAAGGTTGGACTTCATGGCTTGTGGACCTTAAATTACAGGGTGCTTTACTAAAAGAGTTAGATCAGGCAACACTGCATTAAAGTGTACACCTTGGGTCTTGTTCCTGTTCCACGTTCAAGTCTTATGTCTAATATATTTGGGAAACTCTTGTGCTCATGTTCATGGATTCATGTTTTGGAAGAAGTTCCTGGTTATGGATGTATGCTTATGTTTTGATTCCTGGTTTTTTCATGGACCTTGCCAATTTTGAACAGAACTTTGATGTTTGGACTATTGCCTTTTGAAAACCTTTTTCTTATTGCTTTTTGGATATTGCTTTTTATGTTGCCTTCTCCCTTTTTATATTTACTTTCTTCAATAAACTGTTCTGTTCAGGCATGGGCAAACTTGGGCCCTCTCTCCAGGTGTTTTGGACTCCAACTCCCACCATTCCTAATAGCCTCAGGCCCCTTCCTTTTCCCCCTCAGCTGCTTAAGCCCTAGAAGAAGAGAGCTAACATCTGTCAGGGATGCTTTCATTGGGTTTGAACCCTCCTCACTCATAGTATGTCTACACCAAGCATGGCCCAACGTTGGCCCTCTAGATGTTTTGGTCTTCAACTCCCACTATTCCTAACAGCCTCAGGCCCCCCTTTTTCCCCCTCAGCCACTTAAGCCCTAGAAAGAGAGAGCTAACATCTGTCGGGGATGCTTTCATTGGGCTTGAACCCTCCTCACTCATAGTATGTCTACACCAAGCTTGGCCCAACGCTGGCCCTCCAGGTGTTTTGGTCTTCACAACCTCAGAGGATGACCTCACATCCTCTGGGGACACCTGCCATAGATGTGGGTGCAACGTCAGGAGAGAATGCTTCTACAACATGGCCATACAGCCTGAAATACTTACAACCACCCAGTGATTCTGGCCATGAAAGCCCTCGTCAATACACTTTAAATGTCTTTCCTCAATGCTGTCGATGTTAGCTCTCTCTTTCTATTATTATTATTATTATTATTATTATTATTTGCTTTATTTCTATACCGCATATTTCAGCCCAGACAGGCGACTCTATGCGGTTTACATGGTACAAATTATTAACAGTGTCAGTGCAATTAAAACGCAACAAGTGCGACAAACAGGATCAACAACATCAATCCACAACAGTTAACAAAACAGAACAGGACAGTCAACACACACAACATAAAGCCTCAGTGAAATCAGATCCGTTCTCATCATCCTTGTGCCATTCCTATGTTCCATTTACCGTCTTCCTTGATTGGTTGCACTGTTCAGCCAAACGCCTGTTCATAGAGCCAGGTCTTAACCTTTCTCCGAAACGCCAGCAACGAAGGTGCCTGTCTGATGTCTACCGGCAAGGCATTCCATAGCCAAGGGGCCACCACTGAGAAGGCCCTGTCTCCCGTCCCCGCCAAGCGCGGGGGGCTTAAGCGGCTAAGGGGAAAAAAAGAAGGGGCCTGAAGCTGTTAGGAATGGTGGGAGTTGAAGTCCAAAAAACCCAGAGGAAGGGCCCAAGTTTGCCCATGCCTGAACTGAACAGTTTCTTGAAAAAAATAAATATAAAAAGGTAGAAGGCATCATAAAAAGCAGTGTCCAAAAAGCAACAAGAAAAAGATTTTCAGAAGGCAATAATCCAAACATCAATGTGCTGTTCAAAATGGACAAAATACATGAAAAAACAGGAATCAAAACATAGGCATAAATCCATAACCAGAGACACAGGAACTTCTTCCAAAACATGAATACACAAACATAAGCACAATACTTTCCCAGAGATCTTAAACATAAGACTTTATTTATTTGTTTGTTTGTTTGTTTACTGTATTTGTGTACCGCCTTTCTCAGCCAATTGGCGACTCAAAGCGGTTTCCAACAAATCAGTATACATAAAACATAAGAGATAAAAAACATTAAACAGTGTAAGAACATCACAAAAACAATAAAAGTAACATCATCAGCGTCTCATTGTTCTCAAGTATTGTCCAATTCCATTGTCAGGTCATTCGATTTCCTATGTTAGCTACTCCGTATTTGTAAACGCTTGCTCGAATAGCCATGTTTTAACTTGACTCCGAAACGTCAAGAGGGAGGGAGCAGATCTGATCTCCCTAGGGAGGGCATTCCATAGCCGAGGAGCCACCACTGAGAAGGCCCTGTCTCTCGTCCCCACCAAATGTACTTGTGACGAAGGTGGGACCGAGAGCAGGGCCTCCCCAGATGATCTTAAAGTCCTCAGTGGTTCGTAAGGGGAGATACGTTCAGACAGGTAAGTTGGGCCAGAACCGTTTAGGGCTTTATAGGAAAAAGCCAGCACTTTGAATTGGGCCCAGTAGCAAACTGGCAGCCAGTGGACCTGGCACAACAGGGGGGTTGTATGCTCCTGTTAACAATCTGGCTGCTGTTCGTTGGACTAGTTGAAGCTTCTGGACCATCCTCAAAGGCAACCCCACATAGAGAGCGTTGCAGTAGTCTATAGGGGATGTAACTAGAGTGTGGACTGCTGTGGCCAAGTCAGACTTCCCAAGGTACAGGCGCAGCTGGCACACAAGTTTTAAACGTGGAACAGGAACAAGACCCAAGGTGTACACTTTAACATAGTGTTGCCTGATCTAACCCTTTCAGTAAACATCCCTGTAATTTAAGATCCACAAGCCATGAAGTCAAACCTTTGACATCTGGTCTGTTTCAAGGAAGTCTCTGTGACCATAATTTGAGTCCCTCCTCCCCTAAATCTAGGCTCCTACTCCAACTAACCTCAGGTGTTTTCCCAGGGGAAGGATCTTTTCTTTCCAGCTCCTTATCTTCCATTGCCAAGGAATGACTTGGGAAAGGTCTTCCTTATCTTCCAATGCCAAAGCATCTCCATCTCCTCCCTGCTCTGAAGCTGTTTCTTCCTGACCAGACACAAACTCATTCTGCCCTGCAGAATCAGGATCCAAAATCCCCTCATTGCCAACACTGGTTATCCCATCATTCCTCACAACTTCTGACTGAACCATCCCCTCATCTTCAGCCTCTGGCTGAACCACAACAGAAAGGCAGTATTGAAATAAAATGTATAATAATAATAATAATAATAATAATAATAATAATAATAATTGTCTTGGCAGGGCCTTGAAGATGAGTACCAAGAAGAAGGTGTCCTTCTGGGGCAATATACGTATGATCAAGATGGAGAACCATTGCAAATGTTCCAAGTAACGGTATGTCCGCACTCTTCGATGATGCGGCTATTAAATTGTCTTGCCTTTTGCTTCTTTCTGTTTATTTCTACACCTGAAGGATTTTTTTGGGGTGGAAGCATTCCATTGCATGAATAATAATAATAATAATAATAATAATAATAATAATAATAATAATAATAATTTATTTGTAGACCGCCCTATCTCCCCAAAGGGGCTCAGGGTGGAATCCAACATGTATGGCAAACATTCAATGCTAAAAAAGGGAAAAACATTCAAACAGTATTACATCAGGACAAACAATATTGAACAATATAAAAGCAACGTAACATTTAATAACAAAAAGACAATAAAAACTTAAATAAACTATATGGATATAACAGTTAATATAAATTTTCTTTCTCATGCAGATAAACGGCTTCACTCTCACAGAGTCTCCTCTGAGACTGAAGTTACACAGGAGCTTCACACAGTAGCTTTTTACACACACAGCAGCCTTCAACCTTGGGCTTCTCTCACCGAAGCTTCTTACACACCAGGCCTACTCACACTGAGGCCTACTAACACACTGAAGCTCTTCTCCCACAGAGGCTTTCTCACACTGGGGGCTCTCTCAGACTGACAACTCTCATACACTAAGGCGAGCTAACACCGAGGCCTAACACACTGAGGCCTGTGTCCAGGGGCGGCTCGTCCATTACGTGTAGTAAGCGGTCGCAGAACACTTTTTTTTTGCCAGGGGCGCAGAGGCGCCTCTGTAAATGCCCCTTGACCGCCACTTGAGGAGCACCCCCTCAGCTCACAACAGCCCTAGCAGTCCGGGGGGAGCCTCGGCTTTCTTGCCTCGCTGCCGGGCGATCCTCTTCCCAAAGGGGCCGGGCCCTTGAGCCTCGCCTAGCCCCTCTCGTTCCTGCTCCACCTGGCCACCGGGTGCACGAGCAGAGCCACGCAGAGAATCGTTCTCCGTGTTCGATCCCTTCCCCATGACCAGCTCCCTTTCCCAATCCCCCGGCGCTCCACCCGCCTCCTCTCCTTTCCCCAATCCGTGGGTGGGCCAAGGGGCGGAGCCACCATGCCTGACCCTCTTCGGGTGCGGAGGCGTGTCTGAAGACCCCAGCGTGCGCACCAAAAGTCGCCTCTTCTCCTGACTTTCTCTTCAGCCATTGGGACCAAGAGAGAGAGAGAGAGAGAGCCCCTCCGGCTGGAGGTATCTCCCACCTCCGCTCCCTCCTTTGTTTTTGCGCCTACCTTCAGGAAAGGTGGGCATCTCCACCTCTCTCTCTCTCTCTCTCTCTGGTCCCAATGGCTGAGGAGAAAGTCAGGAGGAGAGGTGACTTTTGGTGCACACGCCGGGGTCTTCAGGCACGCCTCCGGACCCAAAGCGGGCCAGGCAAGGGAGCAAGTGCGGCAAGTGTAGTTACTGGGATGTATAGTTCACCTACAATCAAAGAGCATTCTGAACTCCACCAATGATGGAATTGAACCAAATATGGCACACAGAACTCCCACGACAATCAGAAAATATATATCAATGATTGGTTGGGGGGGGGGGTGCCAAAATACTGTTTGCTTACCATTGAAAATTACCTAGGGCCGCCTCTGCCTGTGTCCCTAAAAGATCTCTTACAGACTGACTAAGCTACAGGCACTCCTGCTTATACAGAACTACAGCTTTTGCTGAGTCATTGCATCCATTTAACCCTTTCATTGCTTGAATCACATTTTTGTAATTAAAAATACCTAGTTAATTTTTAATATTTCTGGCAACCATCTCGTGGATTCGAACTGCCAACTTTCAAGGGTTTAACCCGGGTATGGGCAAACCTAGGCCTGAGGGCCGGATGCGGCCCTGGGGCTCTTTTCTCAAGGCCGCCTGTCTCTCACCATCCTATCCTTCTTTCCCTCTTTCTTTCCTCCTTCCCTCCCTCTTTCTGCTTCCCTTCCACCCTTCCTAATTTCCTGCCTCTCTTCCTTACCTCCCTCTTTCTCCCTCCTTCCTTCCACTCTTTATAAATGTATGAATATGTGAGAGGAAGCCACAGGGAGGAGGAGGGAGCAAGCTTGCTTTCTGCTTCCCTGGAGACTAGGACGCAAGGGAGGAATGGCTTCAAACTACAAGAGAGGAGATTCCACCTGAACATGAGGAAGAACTTCCTGAATGTGAGAGCCGTTCAGCAGTGGAACTCTCTGCCCCAGAGGGAGTGTGGTGGAGGCTCCTTCTTTGGAAGCTTTTGATCAGAGGCTGGATGGCCATCTGTCAGGGGTGCTTTGAATGCAATATTCCTGCTTCTTGGCAGAAAGGGGTTGGACTAGATGATGGCCCAGGAGGTCTCTTCCAACTCTTTGATTCTAGGATTCTAGGATTTTTTGCTTCCTTCCTTCCCACTCTCCATCCTCCCTCTCTTTCTCCCTTCCTTCCTTCCTTCCTTCCTTCCTTCCTTCCTTCCTTCCTTCCTTCCTTCCTTCCTTCCTTCCTTTCCCACCATCTTTCCTTCCTTTTCTCTTTCCTTTATCCTTTCCTTCCATCCTTCTCTTTCTCCCCTCCTTCCTTCTCTTTTTCTTCCTCCCTCCCTTTCATCATTTCTTCCTTTTTGTCTTTCGTTCCTTCCCTCCTTCCCTCTCTCTCTCTTTCTCCTTCCATCCTTCCCTTCCTCCCTTTCATCCTTTCCTTCTCTCTTTCCTTCCTCCTTATTCCCCCTCTTTCCCCTTCCATCTCCTTCCTTCCCTCTCTCCCTCTTTCTCCTTCCATCTTTCCGGCTTTCCTTCTTGGACTTAAGAGCGTTTGTCCGTATGAAGAGTCTGCCTCTGCGGATAAAGCCAGAGACGACAATTACGTGAAAAACACGTTCAAGGAGGGTTATGTAGTGTGTAAGTGTGTTGGGAGGGTTGATGAAGACTTGAAATAGTGTATAACTAGTAAAACTATCTATATAAATAAAAATGTAATGTTTGTTTGTGGGATTAAAAGAATTCAAAAACCACTGGACGAATTGACGCCAAATTTGGACAGCATACACCTAACAACCCAATGTATGTCCTCCACTCAAAATTTTTGAATTTTGTCATTTGGGAGTTGTAGTTCTTGGGATATATAGTTCACCTGCAATGAAAGAGCATTCTGAACTCCACCAATGTTGGAATTGGGTCAAACTTAGCACACAGGACTCCCATGACCAACAGAAATCACGGTTGGTGAGCATTGTCCTTGAGTTTGGGAGTTGTAGTTCACCTACATTCAGAGAGCAGTGTGGACTCAAACAATGATGGATCTGGACCAAACTTAGCACGAATATGCCATATGCCCAAATATGAACACAGATGGAGTTTGGGAGAAATAGACCTTGGCATTTGGGAGCTGTAGTTGCTGGGGTTTATACTTTACCTACAATCACAGAGCATTCTGAACCCCACAAACGACAGAATTGGGCCAAACCTCCCACACAGAACCCCCATGACCAACAGATAATCCTTAAGGCCATCCAGTCCAACTCTCTTCACTAGGGCAAGAAAATCTAATCAAAGCCATCCTGACAAAGAGCCATCCAGCCATACATAGAGATAGATCTATATGATTCACACACACTCAGATGTCTGACATGGTGGTTGTGAGAGAATATAAACCCCTTCCCAGTTCCAACAGACCTCGCTACCTCTGAGGATGGTTGCCATAGATGCAGGCGAAACGTCAGGAGAGAATGCCTCTAGAACATGGCCATATAGCCCGAAAAAACCCACAAGAACCTAGTGATTCCAGCCATGAAAGCCTTCGACAATACATTTAACAAGAAATACTGTTTACCTACAAACATAAAGAAATTACATAGATTAGAAACCATTACTTTATTTTCCAGAGCACCAGACTGGGCCACAGCAACGCGTGTCAGGGGACGGCTAGTCTATATAAATAAAAATGTAATGTTCGTTTGTGGGATTAACAGAACTCAAAAACCACTGGACGAATTGACATCAAATTTGGACACAAGACACAATATCAGGCCAATGAGTGACCATCAATCATAAAAACACTGAAAAGCACAGCGGAAGGGACTTAAGAAGCCAAAAAACCACCAAAATTACATTACAACATATGCACAAAACCACATATATTCACAAACACACATATATTTTATTTATTTATTTATTTATTTATTTATTTGGGGTGCTTTTACCCCGCCCTTCTCAACCCCCTAGGGAGGACTCAGGGCGGCTTACAAAAGGCACAATTCGATGACTAACAATTACAACATACAATCTATATATATAAATTTGTTAGGGGCATCCAACGAGGAAACAAAACTCAAAAAAACCCCAACGAAACTTAACCAAAATTCCCATGCCCATAACACAACCCACAAGGTACAAACATAGCTACTCAAAATGAAAAACAACACAACAACACACTCACAAAACGGCAAAACAACAAAACTCAAAAACCCCCCAACGAACCTTAACCAAAATTCCCATGCCCATAACACAACCCACAAGGTACAAACATATCTACTCAAAATGAAAAACAACACAACAACACACTCACAAAACGGCAAAACAACAAAACTCAAAAATCCCCCAACGAAACTTAACTAAAATCCCTGTGCCCATAACACAACCCACAAGGTACAAACATATCTACTCAAAATGAAAAACAACACAACAACACACTCACAAAACGGCAAAACAACAAAACTCAAAAATCCCCCCAACGAAACTTAACTAAAATCCCCGTGCCCATAACACAACCCACAAGGTACAAACATACCTACTCAAAATGAAAAACAACACAACAACACACTCAAAAAACGGCAAAACAACAAAACTCAAAAATCCCCCAACGAAACTTAACTAAAATCCCCGTGCCCATAACACAACCCACAAGGTACAAACATATCTACTCAAAATGAAAAACAACACAACAACACACTCACAAAACGGCAAAACAACAAAACTCAAAAATCCCCCAACAAAACTTAACCAAAATCCCCATGCCCATAACACAACCCACAAGGTACAAACATATCTACTCAAAATGAAAAACAACACAACACACTCACAAAACGGCAAAACAACAAAACTAAAAAAAAACCAACGAAACTTAACCAAAATTCCCATGCCCATAACACAACCCACAAGGTACAAACATATCTACTCAAAATGAAAAACAACACAACACACTCACAAAACGGCAAAACAACTGAGCATGCGCATTGGTGCCCAGCCGCAAGTTCCCTGGCGCGCGCACACAGCCTTCCGGCCAACGTTCCCTCTGCAGAAGCCATGCCCACTCCAAGCCCCGCCGCGCCGCTTCCCGCACACACACCCCCTGCCGCACACACACACGCAACCCCACGCTCCATCTCCCCCCGCCACCGCACACACACACGCAACCCCACCTCCCCCCGCCGCCACACACACACACACAACCCCACGCTCCATCACTCTCCCCACCGCCGCACACACACGCAACCCCACTCCCCCCGCCGCCGCACACACACACGCAACCCCACTCCCCCGCGCCGCCGCACACACACACACGCAACCCCACGCTCCCTCGCCGCACACACACACAACCCCACGCCCATCACTCCCCTGCCCCAATCTTACCTCCTTTTACTTCACGCCCACCTCCAAACCCCACCCCGCCCCTTCCCGCCCTGTCAAAATCCAGGAAAGACAGGAAGGAAGGAAGAAGGAAGAAAGAGAAAGGGAGGTAAAGAAAAAGGGGGAAGAAAGGAAAGTTAGAGAAGAAGGAAGAAGAAAAGGAAAGAAAAGGAAAGATGGAAGGAAAGAAAAGAGAGACAGCAAAAGAGAAAGAAAAATGGGGAAGGAAGGAAAGAGGTAGAGAAGGAAGAACTGAGAGGAAGAAGGAAAGATGGGTGGGAGGGAAGGAAGGAAGGAAGGAGGGAAAGAGAAGAAAGAGGGAAGGTTGGCCACAGCAACACGTGGCGGGTAAAGGTTGTTATTTCTAATATTATTATGATGCTATTATTCCTATGAGACCCTGGGGGAATGGGAGAGGTGTCAGGTCCCAGAGGCAATGCATTGCATTATTGTTATTGTTATGATGGTGGTGAAATAAAAGGAAATAAAAAGTGAAAGAAGGAAGCAAACAGGGAGGGAAGAAAGGCAAAGGAAGAAAGGGGAGGGAATGAAGGAAAGAGAGAAGGATGAAACCAAGTAGTGAAAGAGAAGAAAGAAAGAGGTAGAGAAGGAAGAAAGGAGAGAAAGGGGGAGGAAAAGGGGGAAGGAATAGGTAGGGCCCTCTCTTTCATAATAGTCCAGATATCTACCTCAACTTTGATAAGTTTTACTATAGGCCACAGCAACGCGTGGCAGGGCACAGCTAGTACACTATATAATACACAAATTTACCACATAATATCACAGTTATAACTGATTAAAACCATCAGACAGTATACTAGCAGCAATAAACATTTTGTGGTCAGTGTTCACCAATCCAAGTCCGTAAACCATTTAGCATCGTCAATGTCCTTCCTACTCTGGTCATTATTGGCTGTCTTTGTCCATCTGCCAGCTTACCCGAACACTTGGTCCCACATCCATGTTTTTAGCTTCTTCCTGAAGGAGAGGAGGGATGTTGATGTCCTAATTTCCCTGGGGAGTGAATTCCACAGGCGAGGGGCCACCACTGAGAAGGCCCTGTAGGTATATACACAAACATATGCACACTTATGTACAATCATAGAATCACAGAGTTGGAAGAGACCTCATGGGTCATCCAGTCCAACCCCCTGCCAAGAAGCAGGAAAATTGCATTCAAAGCACCCCTGACAGATGGCCATCCAGCCTCTGTTTAAAATACACATATACACACACTCGAAACACATATACACAGACTGGGCCACAGCAATGCATGGCAGGGGACAGCTAGTTCCCAATAAAAAAATAATTTAGGCTCCAACCGTATCTTTGATTTTAAAAATGCCTTGCAGTGTTTCTTGACTTCTGCCTCCTCTCTTTTTCAGGAGGACACGGAGAAAGCATTCCAGATCGTGGAGCTGAGGATATTCTCCAACTGGGGCCACTCAGAGTACACGTGCCTCTATCGGTTCCGGGTGCACGGGAGGCCCGCCGAGTGAACACGGCCACGCTTCCCTCCCTCCCTCCTGCTGTACATATTTCTTTCTGTTGATATGTATATATAACGGGGAAGGCCTGGGGCGCTGGAATCCTTACGAGGCGAGGGTCTCTCTCACGGGCTGCGGGTTCCATATTCCTTCCTGGTCGAGTAGAAGACTGCCAACGACACTATATACCAAACCCAATGGTTTAATTATTATTGTTTTGCTTGGATGCTCAGCTTGAGGGAAGAACGCGCATGCTGACAGCTCATTTGCAAAAAGAAATATGCCCAGTTAGCAAACTTGATCAATATTATCTATTTTATTACAAAGCTTTTAAATATTCCTCTTTTTTTGGCAGCTAGGAATCTGTTATTTGGGGTTTTGTTTTCTAATAAGGCTCACCTTTTCGTTTGTCTAACGGAAGCGGTTTTGCACCAATGGTGTGATGCATTGTCCCTATAGACTTGGGCTTTCCCTCCATGTGTTTTGGACTCCAACTCCCATCATTTCTAACAGCCTCAGGCCCTTTCCTTTTCCCTCTCGCCACGCTTAAGCGGCTGAGAGGGAAAAGGAAAGGGCCTGAGGCTGTTGGGAATGGTGGGAGTTGGAGTCCAAAACATATCTTGAGAATTAAAGGATTGTGTCCTTAAGAGTCAGATCAGGCAACACTGCGTCATCGTGTGGATCTTGGGTCTTGTTCCATGTTCACATCTATGTCTAAGATCTTTGTCCTGCTATGGATGCATCGTGGACAAAGCCACCCAGCCCTGAAGCCTCTTTGCACTCTTGGGTTGTATGTATGTATGGTCATGTTCCAGAAGCATTCTCTCCTGACATTTTGCCTGCATCTATGGCAGGCATCCTCAGAGGTTGTGAGGTCTCACAACCTCTGAGGATGCCTGCCATAAATGAAGGCAAAACGTCAGGAGAGAATGCTTCTGGACCACAACCACACAGCCAGGAAAACACACAACAACCCAGTGATTCCAGCCAGGAAAGGCTCCGACAAGACAGTTTAGCAGGATCTTTACATACATCTTTACATACATGTTTACCTCGGTGCAGACGCAGAACGGAGCCCAAAATTAATTCAGATTTAGATGTGCTTTAGCTAAATGTTTACTTTGGTGTAAACGCAGAATGGAGCCCAAAATTAATTCAGATTTAGTTGTGCTTTGGCTAAATGTTTACTTTGGTGTAAACGCAGAATGGAGCCCAAAATTAATTTAAATTTAGTTGTGTTTTAGCTAAATGTTTACCTTGGTGCAGACGCAGAAAGGAGCCCAAAATTAATTCAGTTTTCATTGTGCTTTCGCTAAATGTTTACCTTTTGCAAACGCAGAATGGAGCCCAAAATTAATTCAGATTTAGATGTGCTTTAGCTAAATGTTGACCTTGGTGCAGATGCAGAATGGAGCCCAAAATGAATTCAGATTTAGGTGTGCTTTGGATAAATGTTTACCTTGATGCAGATGCAGAATGGAGCCCAAAATGAATTCAGATTTAGGTGTGCTTTAGCTAAACGTTTACCTTGATGCAGATGCAGAACGGAGCCCAAAATTAATTCAGATTTAATTGTTCTTTAGTTAAATCTGTATCTTGGTGCAGACGCAGAACAGAGCCCAAAATTAATTGAAGTGTGAGACTTAACAACAGGAGTAATCCAATAACAATTGAATTACTTGTATTGCCTTGTTATGTTCCAAAGGCCCATTTGTCCCAAGTTTCTTTCAGTAGTAAGTCAAACAAACACATGATCTTGCAGAAAGGAAGTGAAAGGTAAACATTAAGAGAAGAAGGCTTAAGTTGGAAGTGAAAGAGAGGTGTTAATGGGAATTAACACAGTGTGATGGGATGTAATGGGAAAGGAAGGTAGAATTGGAACAAGGCTTAGAAGAGGAGGCCAGAAATGTGTTGTCGAAGGTTTTCCAGAATCATTGGGTTGCTGTGAGTTTTCTGGTCTGCTTGGCCCTATTCCAGAAGCATTCTCTCCTGACGTTTCACCCACATCTATGGCAGGCATCCTCAGAGGTCTGTTGGAAACTCAGAAAGGTTGTGAGGTCTGTTGGAAACTCAGAAAGTGGGAATTATATATCTATTTCCAACAAACCTCACAACCTCTGAGAATGCCTGCCATAGATGTGGGCGTAACGTCAGGAGAGAATGCTTCTGGAAAATGGCCATACAGCCCTGAAAACTAACAGCAAACCCAGATACCAGAAATGCCAACTCTCGGATAAGATAATATGCAACCCAACCATGACTCTTAACTTAAAAGCCACTGGCTGAGAGGCATGCCAACACGTTTGGCTTCGCTTTTCAGCAGGGTTTAGTTGCTCTGTGATTTCCGAAGGAATCAAAACTTAAGAAACCACCCCTTCTTAATATGTTGTCGAAGGCTTTCATGGCCGGAATCACTGGTTTGCGGTGAGTTTTCCGGGCTGCCTGGCCATGTTCTGGAAGCACTCTCCCCTGACGTTTTGCCCACATCTATGGCAGGCATCCTCGGAGGTTGAGAGGTCTGGTGGAAACTTGGCAAGTGGGGTTAATAGATCTGTTCCCAACAGACCTCATAATCTCTGAGGATGCCTGCCGTAGATGTGGGGGAAACATCAGGAGAGAGTGCTTCTGAAATATGCGCATACAGCCCTGAAAACTCATAGCCAACACAGATACCAGAAATGCCGACTCTCGGATAAGATAATATGCAACCCAACCATGATACGTGGCCGGAATCACTGGTTTGCGTTGAGTTTTCCAGGCTGCCTGGCCATGTTCTAGAAGCACTCTCCCCTGACGTTTTGCCCACATCTATGGCAAGGCATCCTCAGAGGTTGAGAGGTCTGTTGGAAACTTGGCAAGTGGGGTTAATAGATCTGTTTCTAACAAACCTCCCAACCTCTGAGGATGCCTGCCGTAGATGTGGGGGAAACATCAGGAGAGAGTGCTTCTGGGAGCCCTGAAAATTTGCAGCAACCCAGATGGTAGAAATGCCGACTCTTGGATAAATAAGATAATACGCAACCCAACCATGAAGCTTATTTGCATATACTGTGTTTACTTTTTGCAAACCCTGCAATTGCTGCTGCTTTCTGGACGTCCAAAGGAAACCAAACATGTGCAAAACTCAGGGGCGCGCATGAGTTTCGTATCAGTTCTCCAAAAGTTGTGCATTAAAATTCCAGGGTCGCAGCTGAAACTTTCCTATCTCTTTTTGTAGAATATGGAATTCCTTGGATACTAACTTCAGTAGAGAAAGCCCTCCTTCGGAGAATAATTCCTTCGAAAGGTGATATAATACCTGAACATTTTTACCTCTTTTCCTGCTTCGGGGAAGGATCGGACTTTTAGATATTGTTTGTTTGCGTTTTGGGGAAATATAAAGGTGGTACTGACTTGGTTTCTTTTGATCAGAGTTCCTATATGTTGCACAAGAGTCCTCAAATATTTATAATAGAGTTTTATTATTTCTCGGAGGTCATTTCTCCACCGAAGTTCAGGTAGAAGCGGAACGAATGGCCTTTTGATAAAGAGCTTGCTAAAAAAATAAAATTTAAAAATAACCCTGTACAGGTGTTTCATAAACTATAAAGAGTAAATATATAAACCAGAACTATCCTGTAGAGACTCCAACGGGCGGGGAATCTTTTTGCAGAACACTAACTTATTTTTAAAGACGCAGGATAGGACTTTGTGCAATGTATTTTTGTAAATGCTTTTTTCAGAACCTTTGTCTCGGGTGTCCTTCGCTGCCTCCAAACTGATAAGAAACTATTAAAAAAAAAGGTTTAAGAGTTTTAATTTTTTCAGAAGTGCATGTCATATTTGGAACTAAGAAATAAAAGTTTCTTTTTTTGGTATTGGTGCTGAGCGTCTCCTTAATATCTCAAGCAGTGGTTTTAGACCAGCTGTGGGCAAACTTCGACCCTCCGGGTGTTTTGGACTTCAACTCCCACAATTCCTAACAGCTTTGGAGAGCTTGTGTTCAATCATTTCAAAGCTCCCTGCTTGGGTGGTGATGGCAGTATCATCAGCATAGATGAAACTCTCTGTCCCTTCTGACAGTGGCTGGTCATTTGGGTCAAGGTTATGCATTGACGGTACAAGCTCTAATAGGCAGTAAGGGCACCCAAAGCTTCTGAGAACTTCTGTTCAAACATTTCAAAGCTCCTTACTTGGGCGGTGATGGCACGATCATCACCATAGATGAAACTGTGTCCCTTCTGGCAGTGGCTGGTCATTTGGGTCAGTGTTAAGCCTTGATGCTCTAATAGACAGTAAGGGCACCCAAAGCTTCGGAGAGCTTCTGTTCAACCATTTCAAGGCTCCTTGCTTGGGCGGTGATGGCACAATCGTCAGCGTAGATGAAACTCTGTCCCTTCTGGCAGTGGCTGGTCATTTGTGTCAATGTTAAGCATTGATGGTGCAATTTGTAGTAGGCAGTAAGGGCACCCAAAGCTTCAGAGAGCTTCTATTCAGCCATTTCAAAACCTCCCCCCTGCTTGAGCGGTGATGACATGATCGTCAGTATAATAAACTCCTTTATGCTATTTTGGGCAGGGGGGGTAAAACAATCCCACCACTGCCACACCAATTGTAATAACCAGGCAGATGGCAATGCGCTCAATCCCACCATCTACCCCTAATCATAAAGGCAGTCTTTATGGCCAAACAATATCACTGGACAGGGGGCAAACAGATCCCAACACTGTCCCTCCTTCAATAAGGAATTCACACCACTTTGGCACTTATAACGTTTGAGGGGATGTCTCTTTATTAAAACCTTCGCTGCCACCATGAACCAAATAATCAGGAACCCACTTTTATTCTGTAACTTGTTTATTGAATACAAGTTAGAGAATAAAAGTGAATGCAGGTTCAGAGGCTTAGCTATTACAATTAAAGTGTTCTTGGTTCTTAGAAGCGTAGCGGTTGCTTGAGAGAATGGCTCTATTCTTTGTTACAATTTCCTAAACAAATCCCAGCTATTTCTTTTCTGAAATAGCTGTAACCAGTCTGCCACAGCCTACTTCGCTGTGCAAACTACAGGCAAGCTGCCTATTCCTAACAGAGACTCCTAAAACTCTAATCCTACTCTAACATCACCCAGAACTGAACAACCCTGTCAAAATAAGCTGCTCTCTTTCCCTCCAACTGGCTAACTCCGCCCCCCTTTTCCAAACCAATCCTGGCTGTTGCTGGGCTGGCTCAGGCCTAGGCCACTCCCCACTCTGAACTGGAGTCTTCCCTAAACTAAGATGGCTCCTGCAGCTCTCTGCCAGGCCTTCCAAGCTGAAACTACCTAGCCTGTCTCTTCCTAGGCCCTGCCACCCCCAGCTGGCAAGGTAAGGGATCTTCACAGTCAGCATAGATGAAACTTTGTCCCTTCTGTCAGTGGCTGGTCATTTGTGTAAATATGAAACATGGATGGAGCAAACACGCTCCACTGAGGCAGGTTGTTCTTCTGTTTCCGCCACCTTCTTCTCTGGCCCTGGAACTCAACAAAAAAGCTCCTGTTTTGTAACAGATTTCCTATGAAGAGGGTGAGGTGGTAATCCTTTGTGATGTTGTAAGTTTTCCCTATAATGGGCAGTAAGAGCACCTAAAGCTTCAGAGAGCTTCTGTTCAACCATTTCAAAACCTCCCTGCTTGTGCGGTGATGACATGATCGTCAGCATAGATGAAACTTTCTGTCCCTTCTGGCAGTGGCTGGTCATTTGTGTAAATGTTAAACATTGATGGAACAAGCACACTCCCCTGAGTCTCTATGATGAGATATTCATTGAAAAACTAGAGCAAAACGTGCTGCAAGATGTCCTACAACCATTTCAAAGCTCCCTGCTTGGGCAGTGATGACATGATCGTCAGCATAGATGAAACTGTTCCTTTTGGCAGTGGCTGGTCATTTGTGTAAATGTTAAACACTGATGGAGTAAGCACACTCCCCTGAGTCTCTATGATGAGATATTCATTGAAGAACTAGAGCAAAACGTGCTACAAGATGTCCTACAACCATTTCTACGCTCCCTGCTTGGGCAGTGATGGCACGATTGTCAGCATAGATGAAACCTTGTCCCTTCTGTCAGTGGCTGGTCATTTGTGTAAATATGAAACATGGATGGAGCAAGCACGCTCCCCTGAGGCAGGCTGTTCTTCTGAGGAAGTGCCACCTTCCTCTCTGGCCCTGGAACTCAACAAAAAAGCTCCTGTTTTGTAGCAGATTTCCTATGAAGAGGGTGAGGTGGTAGTCCTTTGTGATGTTGTACAGCACTCAGGGTACAGTCCAGGGTAACTCCCAGGTATTTGGGTGTGCTGCAATGCTCCAGTGGGATTCCTTCCCAGTTCATCCTCAGAGCTCGAGATGCAGTTCTTAAGGTGAAGAGCACACATCTGCATTTCAAATGGATTAGGAATCAGCTGGTTTTCCTTGTAATAGGCAGTAAGAGCACCTAAGGCTTTGGAGAGCTTCTGTTCAACCATTTCAAAGCTCCCTCCTTGGGCGGTGATGACATGATCATCAGCATAGATGAAACTCTCTGTCCCTTCTGACAGTGGCTGGTCATTTGTGTAAACGTTATAAATTGATAGAGCAAGCCGGTTTTCCCTGTAATAACCAGTAAGACCACCTAAAGCTTTGGAGAGCTTCCGTTCAATCATTTCAAAGCTCCCTGCTTGAGTGGTGGTGGTGGCATGATCGTCAGCATAGATAAAACTCTCTGTCCCTTCTGGCAGTGGCTGGTCATTTGTGTAAACATTAAACATTGAAGGTGCAAGCTTGTTTTCCTTGTAATAGGCAATAAGAGCACCTAAAGCTTCAGAGAGCTTCTGTTCAGCCATTTCAAAACCTGCCCCCTGCTTGAGCGGTGATGACATGATCGTCAGCATAGATGAAACTTTGTTCTTTCTGTCAGTGGCTGGTCATTTGTGTAAATATGAAACATGGATGGAGCAAGCATACTCCCCTGAGACTCTATGATGAGATAAAACGTGCTGCAAGATGTCATACAACCATTTCAAAGCTCCCTGCTTGGGCGGTGATGGCACGATCATCAGCATAGATGAAACTCTGTGTCCCTTCTGGCAGTGGCTGGTAATGTGGGTCAATGTTAAGCATTGATGGTACAAGCTCTAATAGGCAGTAAGGGCACCCAAAGCTTCGGGGAGCTTCTGTTCAACCATTTCAACGCTCCTTGCTTGGGCGGTGATGGCACAATCGTCAGCGTAGATGAAACTCTGTCCCTTCTGGCAGTGGCTGGTCATTTGGCTCAATGTTAAGCATTGATGCTCTAATAGACAGTAAGGGCACCCAAAGCTTCGGAGAGCTTCTGTTCAACCATTTCAAGGCTCCGTGCTTGGGCGGTGATGGCACGATCATCAGCATAGATGAAGCTCTCTGTCCCTTCTGGCAGTGGCTGGTCATTTGTGTAGATGTTGAGCATGGATGGAGCAAGCACGCTCCCCTGAGGCAGGCCGTTCTTCTGTTTCCGCCATCTGCTTCTCTGGCCCTGGAACTCAACAAAAAAGCTCCTGTTTTGTAGCAGGTTTCCTATGAGGCGGGTGAGGTGGTCGTCCTTTGTGATATTATACATTTTTCTCAGGAGGAGGCGGTGGTTCACAGTATCATAGGCTGCTGACAGGTCTATGAAGACAGCTCCTGTGATCTGCTGCCTTTCAAGCCATCTTCTATGTGCTGAGTCAGGTTCAACACTTGCGATGTGCAGCTTTTGCCTTTCCTGAAGCCAGCTTGCGGTGGAATCAGACAGGGGTCTATTTTTTCCATAATTCTATGCAAAATAAGAATTATATTATATTGACAATAATCTCAATATATAATTATAATATTAGTAATAAGAAATTATTACTATTATTATTATTATTAATTCCAGCTGAATATATATAATTATAATATAATATAATGCAGTAATATAATATAGCAATAATATATATAATTATAATATATAATGTAGTAATAATATATAATATAATATAGTAATAAGAAATTATTATTATTATTATTATTATTATTAATTCCAGCTGAATATATACAATTATAATATAATATGATAGAGTAAAATAATATAGCAATAATATTTATAATTATATAATGTAGTAGTAATATATAATTATAAAATATAGTAATAAGAAATTATTATTATTATTATTGCAGCTGAATATATATAATTATAATATAATATAATACAGTAATATAATATAGTAATAATATATAGAATTATAATATATAATGTAGTAATATATAATTATAATATAATATAGTAATAAGAAATTATTATTATTATAATTATTATTAATTCTAGCTGAATATATATATAATTATAATATAATACAGTAAAATAATATAGCAACAATATTAATAATATATAATGTAGTAGTCATATAAAATTATATTAATAAATTATTATTTATTCCAGCTGAATATATATAATTATAATATAATATAATACAGTAAAATAATATAGCAATAATATGTATAATATATAATGTAGTAGTAATATAAAATTATAATATAATAATAAGAAATTATTATTATTATTATTTATTGCAGCTGAATATATAATTTAATATAATATAATACAGTAAAATAATATAGCAATAATATTTATAATATATAATGTAGTAGTCATATAAAAGTATAATATAGTAATTTATTATTATTATTATTATTATTATTATTATTATTATTATTTATTCCAGCTGAATATATATAATTATAATATAATATACAGTAATATAATATAGCAATAATATATAGAATTATAATATATAATGTAGTAGCAAAATATACTTATAATATGATATAGTAATAAGAAATTATTATAATTATAATTATTATTAATTCCAGCTGAATATATATAATTACAATATAATATAATACAGTAAAATAATATAGCAACAATATTAATAATATATAATGTAGTAGTCATATAAAATTATATTAATAAATTATTATTATTATTTATTCCAGCTGAATATATATAATTATAATATAATATAATATAATACAGTAATAATATATATGATTATAATATATAATGTAGTAATATATAATTATAATATGGTAATAATAAATTATTATTATTATTTATTCCAGCTGAATATATATAATTATAATATAATATAATACAGTAAAATAATATAGCAATAATATGTATAATATATAATGTAATAGTCATATAAAATTATATTAATAAATTATTATTATTATTATTATTGTTATTATTATTATTATTCCAGCTGCTCCAATCCTTCAAAGCACGTGACAGAGCCAAGTTCCAAACAAACCACGCCCTCCTGCGCAGCTATTGGGCGAGACTTGGCCGAGCGCTCCTCCCCTTTCCCCGCCCACTCCTCAAACCACGCCCTCCCTCGCAGCTATTGGGCGAGACGCGCCCGACCGCTCCTCCCCTTTCCCCGCCCACTCTTGGCGCTGTTGCTAGGAGACAGCGAGGAGCGCTTCTCCGCCCCCGCCCTCTCTTTTGCGGTCACGTGAACGAGAGCGCGTCACAAACCCTCCTCCCCTTCCCTTGTCCCTCCCCGGCCACCGTCCCTTATCTCCTCCCGTTTTCCCTGGCTGGGCGGAGCCGACGGAAGCCTGCAAGGGCCAGTTTCCTTCTTGGCGGCCGGGTGTGCGCGTTCCTCCGTCATGGCGGCCGCGGCGGCGACGGAGCAGGAGGCCTTGAAGGGTGGAGGCAATAGCAACCGGAACCGCGGGGGCGTGCAGCGCGTGGAAGGGAAGCTCCGCGCCAGCGTGGAGAAGGGAGACTACTACGAGGCCCACCAGATGTACCGCACCCTCTTCTTCCGGTAGGGGGCGCCCTCCCCACGCCGCTCTCCCAGCCCCGCACGGGCCCCGATTGGCCCACAGGGGTGCCCTTCACGCGCTCAAGGCGTCCCCATTGGTCAGGGACAGAAAGAGGCGGGACTCCCGCAGAATAGGGTTTCCTAGGAACTGGGGGGTCCTCAGAGGCCTTTTAGGTGTCTGTCGCTATGCCTGAAAGGGAGGAGGAGTCGAAATTAGCGTATAAACGCAAGGCAATCTGATTTAAATGGGTTTATATGGCAGTGTAGGCCAAGCTGGGCCCTCCAGGTGTTTTGGACTCCAACTCCCAGCATTCCTCACAGCCTCAGGCCCTTATAAGGACCCTGCAGGTGTTTTGGACTCCAACTCCCAGCATTCCTCGCAGCCACAGGCCCTTATATGGGTCTACACCAGGCCTGGGTGAAATTGGGCCTTCTAGGTGTTTTGGACTCCAATTCCCAGCATTCCCCATAGTCTCAAGCCCTTATATGGGTCTACAGCAGGCCTGAGTGAAATTGGGCCTTCTAGGTGTTTTGGACTCCAACTCCCAGCATTCCTCACATCCTCAGGCCCTTATAAGGACCCTGCAGGTGTTTTGGACTCCAACTCCCAGCATTCCTCACAGCCTCAGGCCCTTATAAGGACCCTCCACTGAGTGAAATTGGGCCTTCTAGGTGTTTTGGACTCCAACTCCCAGCATTCCTCACATCCTCAGGCCCTTATAAGGACCCTGCAGGTGTTTTGGACTCCAACTCCCAACATTCCTCACAGCCCCAGGCTCTTATAAGGACCCTGCAGGTGTTTTGGACTCCAATTCCCAGCATTCCTCGCAGTCTCAGGCCGTTATATGGGTCTACACCAGGCCTGCGCCAAGCTGGGCCCTCTAGGTGTTTTGGACTCCAACTCCCAGCATTCCTCACATCCTCAGACCCTTATAAGGACCCTGCAGGTGTTTTGGACTCCAATTCCCAGCATTCCTCGCAGTCTCAGGCCGTTATATGGGTCTACACCAGGCCTGCGCCAAGCTGGGCCCTCTAGGTGTTTTGGACTCCAACTCCCAGCATTCCTCACATCCTCAGACCCTTATAAGGACCCTCCAGCTATTTTGGACTCCAACTCCCAGCATTCCTCACAGACACAGGCCCTTATATGGGTCTACACCAGACCTGGGTGAAATTGGGCCTTTTATGTGTTTTGGACTCCAACTCCCAGCATTCCTCGCAATCTCAGGCCCTTATAAGGACCCTGCAGGTGTTTTGGACTCCAACTCCCAGCATTCCTCACAGCCTCAGGTACTTATATGGGTCTACTCCAGGCCTGGATGAAATTGGTCCCTCCAGGTGTTTTGGACTCCAGCTCCCCGCATTCCTCACAGCCTCAGGCCCTTATAAGGATCCTGCAGGTGTTTTGGACTCCAACTCCAAGCATTCCTCACATCCTCAGACCCTTATAAGGACCCTCCAGGTGTTTTGGACTCCAACTCCCAGCATTCCTCACAGCCTCAGGCCCTTATAAGGATCCTGCAGGTGTTTTGGACTCCAACTCCAAGCATTCCTCACATCCTCAGACCCTTATAAGGACCCTCCAGGTGTTTTGGACTCCAACTCCCAGCATTCCTCACAGCCTCAGACCCTTATAAGGACCCTCCAGGTGTTTTGGACTCCAACTCCCAGCATTCCTCACAGCCTCAGACCCTTATAAGGACCCTCCAGGTGTTTTGGACTCCAACTCCCAGCATTCCTCACAGCCTCAGACCCTTATAAGGACCCTCCAGGTGTTTTGGACTCCAACTCCCAGCATTCCTCACAGCCTCAGACCCTTATAAGGACCCTGCAGGTGTTTTGGACTCCAACTCCCAGCATTCCTCGCAGCCACAGGCCCTTATATTGGTCTACACCAGGCCTGGGTGAAATTGGGCCTTCTAGGTGTTTTGGACTCCAACTCCCAGCAGTCTTCACAGCCTCAGGCCTGGGTGAAATTGGCCTGGGTGAAATTGGGCCTTCTAGGTGTTTTGGACTCCAACTCCCAGCATTCATCACAGCCTCAGGCCCTTATATGGGTCTACACCAGGCCTGGGTGAATATTGGGCCTTCTAGCGGCTGAGGGGGAAAAGAAAGGGGCCTGAGGCTGTGAGGAATGCTGGGAGTTGGAGTCCAAAACTCCTAGAAGCCCCAATTTCACCCAGACCTGGTGTAGACACACATAAGGGCCTGAGGCTGTAAGGAATGCTGGGAGTTGGAGTCCAAAACACATGCAGGGTCCTTATAAGGGCCTGAGGCTGTGAGGAATGCTGGGAGTTGGAGTCCAAAAGGCCCAGTTTCACCCAGGACTGGTGTAGACCCACATAAGGGCCTGAGGCTGTGAGGAATTCTGGGAGTTGGAGTCCAAACTACCTGGAGGGTCCTTATAAGGGCCTGAGGCTGTGAGGAATGCTGGGAGTTGGAGTCCAAAACACCTGCAGGGTCTTTATAAGGGCCTGAGGCTGTGAGGAATGCTGGGAGTTGTAGTCCAAAACACCTAGAAGGCCCAATTTCACCCAGGACTGGTGTAGACCCACATAAGGGCCTGAGGCTGTGAGGAATGTTGGGAGCTGAAGTCCAAAACACCTGCAGGGAACCGCTTGGCCCAGGCCTGGTGTTATATGACTGTGGATCCACCCTGAGGCCCCATCTACACTGCCATATAAAATCCCGGTTATCTGCTTTGAACTGGGTTACATAGCAGTGTAGACTCCTATAATCCGGTTCAAAGCAGAGATTGTGAACTATTTGCTTCGATAATCTGGATTATACGGCAAGGGTACAAATAGGCCTGGAGATATAATCATAGAATCCTAAGAGTTGGAAGAGACCTCCTGGGCCATCCAGTCCAACCCCATTCTGCCAAGAAGCAGGAATATTGCATTCAAAGCACCCCTGACAGATGGCCACCCAGCCTCTGTCAGGGGTGCTTTGGGGGCGGGGATCCTGAACAATTGTTTAGAGCGGGGGCCTGTTAGGTGCCTGTTTCTTAAAATGTAAGAGCACCTAGAGCTTCGGAGAGCTTCTGTTCTACCATCTCAAAGCTCCCTGCTTGAGCGGTGATGGCACAATCATCAGCGTAGATGAAACTCTCTGTCCCTTCTGGCAGTGGCTGGTCATTTGGGTCAATGTTAAGCATCTATGGTACAAGCTGTAACAGGCAGTAAGGGCACCCAAAGCTTCAGGGAGCTAACAATAATAATAGTAATAATAATAATAAATAAAAAACCTTATTTATAAAGTATTATTATTATTATTATTATTATTATTAACACAACCTGCTAAAATAAAGCCCTGCATACAAATGTTTACTTCATGTCTGTGGATCAGACCAGTCCAAGATGCCAGTGTGTTGTGACAACTAGCACTTTGTAGTTGGGATAGCTGTCGTGCACCTCCATAGAGAGTCCCGCTTGCATGCTCTTTTGTAATCTGCATTAAACTTAGAACAGTCAATAAGATGCGCACGGCTGACCTTAAAGATCGTACTTGTCTGCAGTGGAAGAGGCCGTCTCTTTAAGCAGAATGTAGGCCACCTCACTAGCCTTTGCCTGTTCGCTTCAGGTCAGCTAGGGACAACAACCACAATGCTGTCCACACTCTTGCGAGCCTAAAGTCTGGGAACAGATTCACTCTAGCCTGAGAGTGCTCAAGATTTGCGTTGGAGAGCAAGCAGTCCTCGGTCTGTAGACACTCAGCATCTTCCAGTACGTACCAATAATGAAAGGACCAAGACAGAGACATCTCCAGCTCATCCCTTGTTTGGGTCTCAGCCAGCACGTCAATGACTTAAATCAAGAAATAGTTTTCTAAGATCTACAGAGACACTCGCTGGAACACCTCAGCAAGCGAGAGTCCAAAAGTGGCAGGCCCAAACCCAGAACTTCAATCAATGGCGGATACCAAATGAGACACTCCCCACAGGGCACACAGAAGACTGGGCGTCTTGGAAGGTACTGAACAGACTGCACTTGGGCACCACGAGATGCAGAGCCAACCTTAGGAAATGGGGCCACAAAGTGGAATCCACGACGTGCAAGAGCAGAGAAGAACAAACCACTGACCACCTGCTGCAATGCAACCTGAGCCCTGCCACTTGCACAATGGAAGATCTTCTTGCGGCAACACCAGAGACACTCCCAAGTGGCCAGATACTGCCTGAATATCAAGCAAAAAGCGGGCACTAGAAACAATATCATACGAAAGCTGACTGGCACAACCTGGGGATCACAACCAGATACAGTGAAGGCATCTGCCCTGGCGCAATGCTACTCTGCTGCTGAGTACGCATGCCCAGTGTGGAACACATCTCACCACACTAAAACAGTGGATATGGCTCTGAATGAGACATGCCGCATTATCAAGGGGTGTCTGTGCCCTACACCACTGGAGAAATTACACTGCTTAGCCGGTATTGCACCACCTGACATCCGGCGGGAAGTAGCAGCCAATAGTGAAAGGACCAAGGCAGTGACATCTCCAGCTCATCCCGTTTGGGTATCAGCCAGCACATCAATGACTTAAATCTAGAAATAGTTTTCTAAGATCTACAGAGACTCTCACCTCAGCAAGCGAGAGTCCAAAAGTGGCAGGCTCAAACTCAGAACTGATACCAAATGAGAGACTCCCCCCTGGGCACACAGAAGACTTGGAAGGCGCTGAACAGACTGCGCTCTGGCCCCACGAGATGCAGAGCCAACATCAAGAAATGGGGCCACAAAGTGGAGTCCATGACATGCGAGTGTGGAGAAGAGCAAACCACTGACCACCTGCTGCAATGCACCCTGAGCCCTGCCACTTGCACAATGGGGGACCTCCTTGCGGCAACACAAGAGGCACTCCAAGGGAACAGAGACTGGTCAAAGGACATTTAACCAACTACCAAGCTTGCAAACTTTGTGATTTGTTTATTTCTTTCTTTATTTGCATCCTCAGAGACTGGGGCAATCTTTTGTTGAGAGGTGATTAGCAGTCCCTGATTGTTT